GAGCCGGCCGCGCCACCGTGCCCGCCCCGCCGCCCGCCCCTTAAAGGCGCCGGCAGCACCGGAGAGGGTGTGTGTGGGGGGGATCCCTCCCGCCACCCCCTTTTCCAGCCCCCGTACCTGGAAGGAGAGGGAGAGAGGACGAAGCCTTCCTGCGGGGCGGCGGGTCTCTGCGCCGGGAGGATGGCGGGGCTGGCAACTGCGGGGGGGGGGGGGAAGAGGAGGAGGAAGATTGAGGGTCCCGGTCCCGGCGTGGGCGTCCCACGACAGGGACCCGTGTCCCACAAGACCGCACCACAGGCCCTGGCACCCCGGTCATAGCATCATGGAATGGTTTGGGTTGGAAGGGACCTTAAAGATCATCCAGTTCCAACCCCCTGCCCTGGGCAGGGACACCTCCCACCAGCCCAGGTTGCTCCAAGCCCCCTCCAGCCTGGCCTTGAACCCCTCCAGGGATGGGGCAGCCACAGCTTCTCTGGCCAACCTGGGCCAGGCTCTCACCACCCCCACAGGAAAGAATTTCTTTCTAGTATCTATAGTATCTAATCTAAATCTCCCCTCTTCCAATTTAAAACCGTTGCCCCTTGTCCTGTCACTCCACTCCCTGACAAAGAGTCCCTCCCCAGCTCTCCTGTAGCCCCTTCAGATATTGAAAGGCCACTATCATAGAGTCATAGAATCATTCAGGTTGGAAGAGACCCTTGGGATCATCGAGTCCAACCATCAACCCTACATCTACAAAGTTCTCCCCTACACCATATCCCCCAACACCACATCTAAACAACTCCTAAACACATCCAGGGATGGTGACTCCACCACCTCCCTGGGCAGCCTCTTCCAGTGTCTGACCACTCTTTCTGTGAAAAATTCTTTCCTAATGTTCAGTCTAAACCTACCCTGTTGGAGCTTGAAGCCATTCCCTCTCGTTCTGTCACTAATTACCTGCGAGAAGAGACCAGCACCAACCTCTCTACAGTGTCCTTAAGGACAATGTAAGGTCTGCCCAGAGCCTCCTCTTCTCCAGACCCAACAACCCCAGCTCTCTCAGCCTGGTCCTTGACTGGCCACCCCACACAAGGAGGGGAGCCACCCGATGCCCCCAGAAGGGCAGTCAGGGAACACGGTGTTAGCAAAAGCCACCAAAAAGCTGCATTTTGTCGTTATAGCTCTAGTTCTCAAAGGAAAGAAACATTCCAGAAATTCAAATTATAGCTGTTACAGGCACTTTTTCTCCCAAATGTCTCCCCTTAGAAGAAGAGAGGCTTTTACCTGTGTTCAGCCTCAAAAAGAGATGCTGGAATGTTTTTCTACCTTGGTGGTACCCAGACTTAGAGTAAAATTGGAAAGACTCTGCAGAGACAACTGAGATCCCTATTCTCATCTCCTCCTGGGGAGGAAAGGTAGAACCCCCCCTGGAGAGCCAGCCTATCTTCCTACTTAAAATAATAGTAGTAATTAAACTCATTATAGCAGCAAGAGGGTCAGAAAAGGAAAAAGGCTCCTCTCTGCCTTGCTGTGTCATGTTTAACTCGACCCTACTTGTAGCAAAACCAAATCTTTTCAGGTGCAGTGATTTCTCAGCAAAGTACTTCTTGCCGTTTTAACCATTCCTTTCCTAAAAGGCAGAAAGAGTAGCTGAGGGATTCCTGCTGCCTCTAACATGACTGATTTTTATAAACAAAAGAAATGCAAATAACAGAGTGCTCGCTTTTATTGAGTCCTGTACAGAGTGTCCCATCTTTTCCCAGCTCCTCCTTGGAGATGCAGCCAGGAACCTCTGACCTTTCCACACTTCCCCCCAGGGAGCGTTTACACAGCTCAGTCTCCTTTGCTAGAGATCACCAAATATTCGTGGGGCTTCTTACTACAACTTCTACTTCTTTCAGGCAATTCTGAAAACGAAAGCGGGGTCTGCTATACCTTCTAAGACCAAAAAAAGAGGGAAACCAAGCGGTCACCAGTAAAGCTGCCCCAGCACCAGTTGCTGCAGGGCGTAAATCACAGCCGGGCTCTGGCAGAGCTCTCATTTTGTAGCTGACATTTACTTGCCCAGGGTACGATTACAGCAGAGTAACAACAATTCTGAAAATTCTGCTATACCTTCTAAGACCAAAAAAAGAGGGAAACCAAGCGTCACCAGTAAAGCTGCCCCAGCACCAGTTGCTGCAGGGCGTAAATCACAGCCGGGCTCTGGCAGAGCTCTCATTTTGTAGCTGACATTTACTTGCCCAGGGTACGATTACAGCAGAGTAACAGCAGAGCCCAGGAGTTGCTGGCAGATAAATATAACTTTCCAAGACACTACTCGCTGCCCTTGCAGATGAGGTCACAGACATTTAACGTCTATTTTAAACTCTGACACTTTTTAAGCATCCAGTGGGCAGGGTCATCATTTTTCCCCCCCTCGCATTAACAGACATTTAGAGGAACTAGAAAAACATAATGGGCTGAATATTTTTAGTACCTCAAAGTTGCTTGTCATTGCTATTGCAGCTTAAATTTGGTGGACTAAGTCTCCTTATTTCAGCGACGCTGGAAATAATTCATGGCTGTTAACAGTCAAGGGCCTAAAATAAAACCATCATTTTCCTCAAATAATGCTATTTCCTTATCACATATTAAAAGGCAGACTTTATTTATAAAAAAGAGCATAAAAACAGTCAGTAACTATTCAGAACAAGTGTAAGATGAGTATTATCAAATGACATAAAAAGCAAATAAAATTTTTAAAAATAAAACCAAATCCTTTATGAGATGGCAATATAAAATCATTAACCCCTCCCCTTTATACGTCTCATGTCAAAACTACAATAGTGTTTAATTAGGAACCCACCAGACCAATTTAATAAAGCAAATTTTTTCTCAGTGAAACAGTTCCAGCACGTGCTGGAACTACTTTACAAGTCACAGAAAATAAGCACATACCTAGGAAAACTAGGCTTTATAAAACACAATTACATGACAACTGTCAGCCTTGTTACTGAACAGTGCTAATTTTTACTGTGTCTCAATGTTTTTATGTCAAAGTATTTGGTTAGACAGCGGATGAGGAACAGCCTGTCAGAGGATATTACATACTTACAGTTATTCCATCTCTATGTTATCACTATACATTTCTTAAAAGCCATTAGCAGAAGTGTGATACCAGAAATAAGTGATTCATTGGCTTTAACAAATCAAACCTTGGGAAGCACCAACGCATGCCAGCTTTTTGAGAGGGGAAAGACTATAAATTGTCCAGAAACTACCAGAATAAAGTCCTGGTTTAGTCTGAAGGACTCTCTAGCTGGAATGTTTAACGTAAGAGGGAATGCACACAATTATAAACCCATTCTTCCTGCTCGTTCAGTGGCATCACGTGCTGAGAAACCTGCGTACAAGAGAGAAAACAGAGATGAAACAGTCATTTATTGGAGAACTGTGTGGCTGTTACCTGAAGTGCTGTGTAAGCAAAATGAACCGTTGCAGCACTTACAGCACTAACATTAAATGATGAACATTCACCATCTATATTGACAGCTGCTTTCAAAAATTAGTAATTAATTTAATTGCATGACAGCAAAATATTAATGAGGGACACCGAGCCTACGATTTATACTGAATGAAGCTGAAATTAAAATGTATAAAACACCTTACAGGATCAGGGTATAGATATCTAAAGTGTCAGCAGCGATGTCAGAACAGGCCCCAACCCTGCCCATGTCACAGGACTGCACCTCATTACAAGGGGCTTGAATGCATCCACACTGGAAAGCTGTGAAATAGAAAATAGATTAGAAGCCTCTCCTTTAAAAGAAAGAGACCATACTTTTCGAATAATAAAAAACTGGATTTTCTTCATAAATGAATGAAGAAAAATACCATTTAGAATGCATTTTCAATCTCATTCTATCCCTTAGAAATTTCCCTAAAGCCTGCCCAGCTTTGGAACTGGGACCAGCAGATCACATTGCCTTGTGGCTAAATATGATCCATAAGTCAAGTTTAAAAAACACAACTAGCCATCTGAAAGCCACACTGTGCATAAGGACTGCAATATATATATTTGTTTCTGACTAGCACATGCTTGGTCTCTTTCTCACAGATATCAATATATTTCTGATTAAAATTTGCTAAGTAAAAAAAGAAAAAAGAAAAGAAAGCCTTAGAAAAAAATATTCAAAAATATTAGTAAATGGTAGAAAATAAAAGAAAGCCTTAGAAAAAATATTCAAAAATATTAGTAAATGGTACATGTATTGAATGGACAACAAACAGGCACAGGATGAAAAACTGAACAGCTATGGAGTTTTATAGCAATTTGCACAGGGAAACACGGCTACATCAAGTACACACACAGCTTTGAAACACCAAGAACTGTATCTCATCTCCACAGGTTCATTATCACGATAAAAGACCTGCAGAAGGAATATATCTCATCTCCACTGGTGAGGAAGATGCCACTATCCACAGGTTCATTATCACGATAAAAGACCTGCAGAAGGAAACTGTACAGATGTCATATGATTTTTCCTTTTTGCTTAGATTTTAAGTGGGCTGAACAATAAAAATCTTACCATCATGGACTTTGGTGCCACTTCTACAGCAAAAACAGTCAGTCCCCGGTTACTCAGGCAGTTCTTACTCTGCTCGTTGTTGACGTGAATAATCACTTTGTTGTCAGACTGCAGGTGGAAAGACACGGAGGAACCCATTACTCTTAATGGTTAAGGGGCTGCTCTTTATGTAACAACTACACATCCCTCTTACTTCCTCTGATTTTGCTATTTTACAAGATAGAAACACTTTAAAGATGCTGATGTCTATTCTCTTTGAAGAGTAACAGCTTCATATGTACCTCAGCACCACCAGAGCCCAAATCCATTATCAAAAGTAATTTAAGACTCGTTGAAATAACTCAAGTGCTTACGAAGATGCAACTTGGGAACATCATTTAGTGAGAAAACTATTTGCCACAGATTCTAATAGTTTACATAGTTTCATGAGGTGACTGGACAAATTCATACTAGATTTTAAGTACAATGAAAATATTTGTCTCATGTCCTTGAACTGCTCACTAGAGGTGAGGATAGTGGTTTGGAGAAGTGTCACTGGACAATTTGGGCTTGCAACATCCCCTACAGGCCATTTCTGAAGACTTCTTTTTATAGAAAAATATTAAATATTTTACTAAATTGGCCATTGGTCAGTCTCACCTCTGTGCCCATCAAGATCATGGAGCAGATCCTCCTGGAGACTATGCTAAGGCACATGGAAAATAAGGGGGTGACTGGTGGCAGCCAACATGGCTTCACTGAGGGCAAATAATGCCTGACAAATCTGGTGGCCTTCTACGATGGAGTTACAGCATTGGGGGCTAAGGGAAGAGCAACTGATGTCATATACCTGGACTTGTGCAAAGCACTTGACACTGTCCTGCATGACATCCTTGTCTCTAAATTGGAGAGACATGGATTTGATGGATGGAAAACTTGATGGAAAAGTAATTGGATGGATGTGGTCAACAGCTCTGTGTCTAAGCAGTAAAAAGTGACAAATGGTGTTCCTCAAGGGTAAGTGCTGGGACTGGCACCGTTCAACATTTTTGTCAGAGACACAGACAGAGGGATTGAGGGCACCCTCAGAAAATTTGCTGATGACACCAAGCTGTGTGGAGCGGTCGACACACCTCAGGGAAAGGATGCCATCCAGAGGGACCTGGACAGGCTGGAGAGGTGGGCCCGTGCAAATGTCGTGAAGTTCAACCAGGCCAAGTGCAAGGTCCTGCACCTGGGTTGGGGCAATCCCAAGCACAAATACAGGTTAGGCAGAGAAAGGATTGTGAGCAGCCCTGAGGAGAAGGACTTGGGGGTGTTGGTGGATAAGAAGCTCCACACAAGCTGGCAATGTGCCCTGTCAGCCCAGGAAGCCCCCTGCACCCTGGGCTACATCCTCAGCAGTGTGGCCAGAAGGGTGAGGGACGGGATTCTGCCCCTCTGCTACATCCTCAGCAGCGTGGCCAGCAGGGTGAGGGACGGGATTCTGCCCCTCTGCTCCGCTCTGGAGACATCCCCCCCAGTGCTGCCTCCAGCTCTGGGGACACCAACATCAGAAGGACATGGAGCTGTTGGAGCGGGGCCGGAGGAGGTCATGGAGATGCTGGGAGGGCTGGATCCTCTCTGCTGGGAGGACAGGCTGAGAGAGTTGGGGGGGTTCAGCCTGGAGAAGAGAAGGCTCCGGGGAGACCTTCCAGCCCCTTCCAGTCCCTAAAGAAGGGGGGCTCCAGGAAAGCTGGGGAGGGACTCTGGATGAGGGAGGGGAGCCCTAGGAGGACGGGGAAGGGTTGGACACTGAAAGAGGAGAGATGGAGCTGAGATGTGGAGAGGAACTTCTTGGCTGTGAGGGTGGTGAGAGCCTGGCCCAGGTTGCCCAGAGAAGCTGTGGCTGCCCCATCCCTGGAGGGGTTCAAGGCCAGGTTACTCCAAGCCCGATCCAACCTGGTCTGGTGGGAGGTGTCCCCGCCTATGGCACGGAGGTTGAAACTGGATGATCTTTAAGGTCCTTTACAAGTCTAATCATTCTATGATTCTATGAAATTAATATAAGTATCATCATTTAAAGAACACCTCTTGCTAAAGCTATGCAAGAAGGATCCAGTATATAAAACTGACAGCTTGGGTAACAGAAAATTCTTCAACCACCAGTTTATCCCGAGCAATATTAAGACAGAAAACCTAAGAATGTGCTACTGTACCTCCTCATTCAGTTGTCTTTAGATAAATCTCAAATTGACAGAAATGCTGGGAAATGTTTGATTCTCAGACAATGCCATCCAACAATCTAACCATCTCTCTCTATTGAGAAATGGAATAGAAACACAGTTACTTTACACAATCAGCCTCATGCAGCAAAGAAGCTGCTATTAGACTGGTAAGGACTGACCTAAAAAATATATTTAAAAAAAAAAAAAGCTATCTCTGATGCTCACACTACAAAGGGTTTGTGGACAATAGAGTCCAAATACAGTAATTTTTTTAATTAGGTATTGTAGAAACGTAAAGACAATCTAGTGTTAAGCACCTTATAATTCTGCTCTTGCTGCTCTGGCATCAGAGTGGTGAATTTCTACAGGGCAGTGAGATAAAGGAGAAGGAAAAAATTATCTGTACAGGAAGATCCTTATGGCAACAGGAAGAAGGTCACAGATACTCACCTAGCACAGAGGGTATATTATAGTCAGTTTGTGCTTTGGATGGTAAGAAATGCCTCACTATTTCTTTTGGCACACAAATGGGCAGACAATAGATTTGGTACTGCTTACTCTCCAAATTTGAGGTTCTGTATGAGCTAATTTTGAGTCTTTTAATCTCTCTGACTAGGGAGGGTTAGAAGACGGGCACCTTTCTCTCCCCACTGATTAAATGCATATACAAGACTAAAACAGAATCCCTCAGGAACTCGCATATTTCCTTAATTTAATTACAGAAATAACAAAGAAACAATTATTTCTATTGAAATCATCAGTACAATAACTGAAGATATAATCAGGCTGCTTGCACTGCGGGAAGCTTAGAAGATGACAGACGCATGAAACTGTCTTTTATTATTTCTTCACTCCAAGCCCGATCCAACCTGGTCTGGTGGGAGGTGTCCCCGCCTATGGCACGGAGGTTGAAACTGGATGATCTTTAAGGTCCTCTGGTAAGAGGTGTCCCCGCCTATGGCAGGGAGGTTAAAACTGGATGATCTTTAAGGTCCTTTCCAAGTCTAATCATTCTACGATTCTATGAAATTAATATAAGTATAATCATTTAAAGAACACCTCTTGCTAAAGCTATGCAAGAAGGATCCAGTATATAAAACTGACAGCTTGGGTAACAGAAAATTCTTCAACCACCAGTTTATCCCCAGCAATATTCAGACAGACAAGTCTAATCATTCTATGATTCTATGAAATTAATATAAGTATCATCATTTAAAGAACACCTCTTGCTAAAGCTATGCAAGAAGGATCCAGTATATAAAACTGACAGCTTGGGTAACAGAAAATTCTTCAACCACCAGTTTATCCCGAGCAATATTAAGACAGAAAACCTAAGAATGTGCTACTGTACCTCCTCATTCAGTTGTCTTTAGATAAATCTCAAATTGACAGAAATGCTGGGAAATGTTTGATTCTCAGACAATGCTATCCAACAATCTAACAATCTCTCTCTATTGAGAAATGGAATAGAAACACAGTTACTTTATACAATCAGCCTCATGCAGCAAAGAAGCTGATATTAGACTGGTAAGGACTGACCTAAAAAATATATTTAAAAAAAAAAAAAGCTATCTCTGATGCTCACACTACAAAGGGTTTGTGGACAATAGAGTCCAAATACAGTAATTTTTTTAATTAGGTATTGTAGAAACGTAAAGACAATCTAGTGTTAAGCACCTTATAATTCTGCTCTTGCTGCTCTGGCATCAGAGTGGTGAATTTCTACAGGGCAGTGAGATAAAGGCAAAGGAAAAAATTATCTGTACAGGAAGATCCTTATGGCAACAGGAAGAAGGTCACAGATACTCACCTAGCACAGAGGGTATATTATAGTCAGTTTGTGCTTTGGATGGTAAGAAATGCCTCACTATTTCTTTTGGCACACAAATGGGCAGACAATAGATTTGGTACTGCTTACTCTCCAAATTTGAGGTTCTGTATGAGCTAATTTTGAGTCTTTTAATCTCTCTGACTAGGGAGGGTTAGAAGACGGGCACCTTTCTCTCCCCACTGATTAAATGCATATACAAGACTAAAACAGAATCCCTCAGGAACTCGCATATTTCCTTAATTTAATTACAGAAATAACAAAGAAACAATTATTTCTATTGAAATCATCAGTACAATAACTGAAGATATAATCAGGCTGCTCGCACTGCGGGAAGCTTAGAAGATGACAGACGCATGAAACTGTCTTTTATTATTTCTTTCCAGATATTTACAGTACAAAAAAAGTCTCCGGTCTACAAATTCTAATGAGATTTTCAGAGAAGTGCAAGTATTTGCTTCGATGCAGAACAGAGGTATTTATGAAACCTAACTGGTATAAATGGCAGCGGTCAGTGATTTTAATCAGACAGCATCCAGTTGCCTCAGTACAGACCTCACCTTCCTCTCTGACATATCCCCAAACATATAAATAACTCCAGGATATCCACCCTAAAGGGCGAAGTGCAGATCTAAACCCGGAGTTCCAAGGAGCCTCAGCATTCAGTCCTAATATTAGTCCACCAACCCACCCCCTTTTGCATGTCAAATTTGAGGTTCTGTATGAGCTAATTTTGAGTCTTTTAATCTCTCTGACTAGGGAGGGTTAGAAGACGGGCACCTTTCTCTCCCCACTGATTAAATGCATATACAAGACTAAAACAGAATCCCTCAGGAACTCGCATATTTCCTTAATTTAATTACAGAAATAACAAAGAAACAATTATTTCTATTGAAATCATCAGTACAATAACTGAAGATATAATCAGGCTGCTCGCACTGCGGGAAGCTTAGAAGATGACAGACGCATGAAACTGTCTTTTATTATTTCTTTCCAGATATTTACAGTACAAAAAAAGTCTCCGGTCTACAAATTCTAATGAGATTTTCAGAGAAGTGCAAGTATTTGCTTCGATGCAGAACAGAGGTATTTATGAAACCTAACTGGTATAAATGGCAGCGGTCAGTGATTTTAATCAGACAGCATCCAGTTGCCTCAGTACAGACCTCATCTTCCTCTCTGACATATCCCCAAACATATAAATAACTCCAGGATATCCACCCTAAAGGGCGAAGTGCAGATCTAAACCTGTAGTTCCAAGGAGCCTCAGCATTCAGTCCTAATATTAGTCCACCAACCCACCCCCTTTTGCATGTTTGTCCTTTTAAAAATGTACTTCTTGCTGTGGTCTCTCAAGATTTAAAGAATCTTAAGTTTAGCATCTTACTACACTGAATTTATTTCCTCACGGTTCCCAATATAAATGAAACTGAGAATGAACAGCATGTTCATTAGGATCTATGCAAAAAGGTTTAAAACTTCTGCTTCTAATGACTTCCAACTACTTTTTTTAAGATTTAAAGAATCTTAAGTTTAGCATTTATTAGGATTTATTTCCTCACTGTTCCCAATATAAATGAAACTGCGAATGAACAGCATGATCATTAGGATCTATGCAAAAAGGTTCAAATCTTCTGCTTCTAATGACTTCCAACTACTTTTGCTTGGATTTACAATTCTTAGCTTGGATTAGTAAGAAAGCAAACCTGTAAAACTAGCCTGTTAACAATTCATCCCTAATGCACTTATAAAGCACAATCAATGCAAGTCACTGCTCTTTCACTTCCTTATACACACTGAAAATACTAAATAATGCAAATGCTGTAGTCTCTGCTCTTCCTGTAATTGTATTTCCTGTTCTTAGTATTTGTTTTGTGGTATCATGAACATATTATTTCTCCAATAATTATCAAAATATTGAAAAATTGGAATGTGAACACAAGCAAATATTTAGATTCTATGTGATAGTAAAACCTGCTTGCCTCATTATAATAAGCTGACCTTTCCAAGAACACTGATCCAAGCTCTTTTGAAGTCCAAGTCATATCTCAAAAAGAGCTTTGTATCAGGCTTTATTGTTTTTTTAAGATTAATTACATACAGAAACTTGATATCTGAAAATATAATTCTCAAAAATCACACAAGGAAGTAAGAAGAACAATAATAATAGACATGAACATGAAGTACCTTAAGGCAATCTGATGCCATACCTTATTTTCAATAACAGAAGTGATTCTCCTGCCCGCTTTGTAGGTGTAGATGATGATGTTTTCACAGCCATCCATTACTTTGGCCTCTCCTTTATTAACAACAGACTTGCAAATAGCCCTGTTGAGTTGCCAGCCGCCTGCCTCCAGATATATGGCTTTAATTCTGGGTTTGCATTTTTCTGCATAGATGCCAATGACAAAAGGGCACGCCTGCAATGGAGAAAAGAAGTTTTATCATCACTTTAACTCCAGTTTTTCCCCTCAGATTTTCATCCACAGCTCCTAAGTGTTGTCATATATGTTCTGAATTATCCAAATATAAGTATGTCACTGAGTATTAAATACTCACAATGTGAGAGCCATGGCAATCTTTTAAACCAAATGAAAGCTCAGGACAAACAAATGCTTTTTCTGCCAGTCACAGTACACTAGATATGCAGTTTGGCACATTTGGCTCCAACATAGCAAACCCTTCCTTGGATAGCAAAACGTTCAGGAATTAAGATGAAATATGAATGTATTTCAGTGTCTGAAATAAACTCATCTCCTTTACTTGTCACAGTCTTGCTATTTGTGCCACTTCATACAGATGTAAAATATCTGCAATGCTGCATTAAGCGCTCTGCTCTTACAGTATCTTGGCTAAGATTAGTACAAGTAACAACCAGGAGTTTGCATTTTCTTAGACTCAGTAACAGCAGCTCAGTTTCTTTCAAATGGCTATTGGAATCCAGTAGGATTTCTGTCTTTGACTTGTTAGAGGCCCAGTGCTCCTGAAATACCAATCTCTTAAATCATCTGAAATCTAGGAATTAAAGGGTTAAGTAGATATACATTTTTAGACAAACAACTAAAAGCATTCGGAGAACTATACTGTCCTTTGGAAAGCAAAAACTATGGGTGCAAACCACAGCCAGTAGAAGGTACAAAACACCTATAAGAAATTTCAAACTTGAGAAAAACCTCCCCAAAATCTTCTTTCTTAGAGAATAGCTCCCTCTTACGTCTGAAATGCAGAAAGACAGTTTTGTAGCGCTGCAAACCCAATCCACAGGAAAAGGAGAAAGTGCTATTCATTAAGAAATCATTCACTTGATCTCAATATTTTCACTGAGAGACAACTGAACTCTCTCTACCTTACTGAGTATTTTTGGTTTTGTATATATTTGTTGGATGCACATGTATTTTTATATGATGACCACATCGACATGATTTAGTTTAACAAAAATTAAAGAAACAATTAGACTACGATAAAAAAAAAAAATCAGTTTTTCTTGGCAATGAAAGTTAAATGATGAGATTATCTGCATATTTAATATTTTCTTTATTTTTTTCATAATTTCTTTTCTATTCACTATGGATATACTCTTTCTTTAGTGAGAACTATTAACACCAGTTTCTGGGGAAAAAACCAAATCTGTAAAAACACAGAAACATTAGAGAAATAATCCCTGGTTCTGTAAAGCAAAAAGTGTGCCACCAGAAGCTCTTTCATTAAAATTTTATATTGAACACCTTCAGTGAAAGGCAACAGTAACAGAAATAGCTGTGTCTGGAAATTAAGAATTCTGAATTATGTGGTAAAAGAGTTATCTTCTCCTTATCTGCTTCTGTTGCAGCTTGGACCAGGAAAATGACTTTTTGAAGCAGAGCAAATCCTGCATTTTGTAAGTTTGCTGAGAGGTCACAGTTTACCATCACTGTCTTCTTACCATTTCCCACCAGTGAGGTGCATGAATTCTTTCAACAGGTATAACCCAAGACTCCTTCCTCTACAACCCCACGAAGTACTGTCTTTTCTCTAAAGCAAAAAGCAAACTTCCTCTTACAACAGTGTCAGTGTTATCCTAAGAAACAGGATACCACAGTGACTGAAAGTCACAGTGTAAACCCTCTACTAAACATTTGGACTGGATCAGTAACCTACTGAAATCAATTTATGACAGACAGAGACAGTACTGCAGTTAAACACGTGCAGCAAGTTGGATGTGAAGCAGTTATTTTTTGTGATATGGCTACCATACCTCTGTCATTTCTAATGCTTTATTGTAGCCCAGAGACAATAAAGTGACCCAAAGGTCACTAGGATCCCCTTCACGGTCATTGGCTTCCATGAGATTCAAATCCATAAATCCTTGTCTTGTTAGTTCATTCTTCTTCATATCAAAATTCTCTGTTTAAAAAGAAATATAAGGTAACACTTAAATATCTGTTCTCTCTATGTTAACAAGGTTTAAAAGATGGAGTCATTTTGCAGCTTCAGGTTCTCCAATATTATTTGGGAAAGAATGTCCTTGACCAGAGACACGCTCTTTGCAGTGTCCCTATGGATTTTAGATAATGACTCGAAACAGCTGGTCCCTTGTACAACACAAAAGAGGGTGAGATTTCAAACCAGAGTTCATATTGATTCTTTTTCACTAGCAGTGTCTGTTGTGGCTGAGACTGGCAGTATGGTGTATATTAGGAATGGGAAATTAAAGTCTGCTGGGGCCAGCACCCTTAGTGCTTGAGGTCCTTGATATATAAATGATTTACTTAGTTCCTAAAAAGCAATAAAATGCCAGTAATCCTAACACCCCTCTCTTGATAGAATATCATAGATCGACCACTCTAATGTCAGCAAACACATAATTGAAATGTCCTTGTGTCAGAGATTTTTAAAAATGGTTTTCTCATCTTCATAACAATGCTAAATCTTTACTATATATTATTAAAAAGGGATTACCAATTTAATAAATCTATCTGAGGGTACAGATGCTATAATAAATGGCTTGAACTTTGGTGTCAAGATTTATGACATTCGTCTGAACCCTTCAACTGATTAATGACCTGGTAAAACATTCACCATATTCTCCTCTTTCCTCTCTTGTACACTTCCCAAGGCATCCACCCCTGCTGCTCATGTTGAGACCAGCGCACAGAGTGTAACACAGACAAAGTCATCAAGTGTTTCTTTCCTCTCTTGTACACTTCACACAGGCTGCTCATGTTGAGACCAGCGCACAGAGTGTAACACAGACAAAGTCATCAAGTGTGGAACTACACACACAGGGATGAAAGAGACAAGAAACTCATTTATAGAAAAGTATTTTTGTATGACCTTTCCATCATTCAGGAAAAAGTCCAATATCTTATTAGAGTGTTTTGGGGAGAAACACAGTAGGACCGTAGAAACAGATTTGAAGTGTTTTGGCCCAAATTAGGCAACGTGTCATAGCCTACCACAGACACCAACATGACATGGACCGATAGATAATGACATGCCATACTGGCATTTCAGAAATAAGTTGCAGAAAAACTGTATTTCTTATAGAAACTTCTACTTTTCATACAATGGCTTCTAAATTTCCCATTTGCCCACTCACTGCAGCTAAAATCCCCACGTTTCAAAAGTCATGCTTTCATGCACTGTATCATTAGGGCAGCCTCACATTTACCAGTGGTTGCATTCTCTGAACCCTGTTACCAGATAAATCTGTGTATTCTCAAGGCCTTTGCAAGCTTAAAGCAATGCCACAGAATTCCCTTTTTCTTCAAAAAAATCAAAGTTTGTGGCCTAATACTGCTCCTGCAAGCTGGCACGGTGCCCAGGAACACTGATGAGATGAATCAGCAGATAGAAAACAAAGCACAGCTGGAAGTGTCTTAATTGTCTGTCAGCTTCCTCATCTCACTCACGGAAGTCTCAGAATCTCACGCTGTCATATAGTGTGATATGGACAAACTGACACCATATATTAATTGCCAAAAGATTTTTAATGAAAAACTGCTTACATCTGAAGAACATGTATAGTTTTCTAATGTATAATTTTCTCAACAATCATCATAAGCTCTAGATGCCATTTTTAAAGCCTCATCTACACAATAATTAAATGTCCCTCTCAACACTGAGATATGAAAGCTTAATCTGCAAAAAGGAGATTGATTAAACAAATACCTGTTACAGCTTAATTCACCATATGATCCATGATTAGAAAACCTCTAGTTTTTGGCAGCTATAAAGTCTTCCACCTACAATACTTTGCAATTAGCAATGGAAGGAAATTTCTTAGCAGGTCAGTGGCACAGAAAACAGAATGAAGCAAAACAGTGAACAAGACACTGGAAAAGGGAAGAAGAGAAAAGAAAAATAAGGGGAGAAGAGAACAATAACTACATGTGTTTTTGGGTAAAGGCTACAAATGCTCAGTTCTTCTATACCATATACATAGTAGGATGCTATAAACAAGAGCTTGCAAGTAGACTGATAGCACTAATGAACTCACCCTTGCACACAGCCCATGCATCCTCATCACATTTCTCACCACTGGTTCTCAGTTCAAAGAAATTGTATTCCTCCAAACTCAGAAGGCCATTTCCATCCAAATCAATTGTTTCAAATATATCCAATAAAGCCGCTCTAAAAGATGAAAGAGGCAGAACTATTTCCAAATAATTGTTTCCTTTAGTTTAGTATTGTCAATAACTATTCAGTCTATTTGAGAATATTCCTTATAAATAGTACTTTAGTAAAATACATTTTTTAAAAAGCTAGCTGTTATTTGGAGCACACACTTTTATAATAGCTACCACATCTCTTTGGGAATATGACTCACCGGAACTCTTTGGTTAGAACCAGTTCTCCATCTTCCCCTCTATACACCAGTTTTGCCTCTCCAGTAACTTGTGTTTTTACCTTCTTCAACCTACAGCCTGTTGTGAACGGGAGTAGCCAGTAAACACCTGATCCAAGCTCCCCTTTCCATCCAAACACCTACTCTTAAAAGAAGACAGACAAGTTTGTAAGTTACTTCTCAAATGATACCTTTCTCTATTACTTGTAATATTCATACAAAAGGGATTAATTACTTGAAAACACTGGTAATGCTAAGTTCTTTACTTAAAGAAAACATGACTGCAGCGAGATGCTGTGTCATGCCATGTTAAAGACACAAAAACTAGTGAATCTCTTGGTTATAATAAAAATTAGAGAAACATCCAGGACCAGAGATGTGGGGAGAAGAGTCATTACTGGAAGTGTCTAATAACAGTCCTATAATTTTTTAGTTTTGTAACATTCTTTAACTGTTAAACATTAAAACAAAAGCAGCCCGAAGCAGGCTGACAAAACCCACGGAGTTTTCAATTTCCTCCTTGATTTATTAGCTTTTTTCAAACTAGCAACAAAAACCTCTGATGTAAAAAATCACAAGTGACTTAGGCTTTAAGAAACAAACCGAGTTCCCTGTGGCTTGGAAGGGGGAAGTAACTTAATGCTGCCATTTCTCCTCCCTTATTTCTGCCATAGGATAAGACTATTTTGTGCACTATGAAGTTCAAAATCGTACATATGGCAAGGAGAAAGAAAATTAAAAGAATTTTAACAAATTTTACCTTTGAAATATATGGAATACAGGTGAGTTTCCACAGAGTATCTGTACAGATGACCAGCAACTCAGCAATACTTGCCAATGCACCACAGGATGAGGTTAATTAAATGAGTTTAATTAAACTTCTATACAAGCGGTTTGCAATTCAGCCCATCCAAAGGGCACAACTAAGACAGCATTATATCCTACCTTGCATAAATTCCATCAGTTTTGAAAGGGAACATGCACAGAAAAGGGTTTCTTCTTTCCTCTAGTCTGATTAATTACAGTTTGATTTCCTTCTGAACACCTGGGAATTCACCCATGCAGCATTAATACATACACTAAAGACAGAAGAATTAAAATAGGAATACAACAAAAATATCTAACCTCTTTGTTTTGTTGTTCAGTGAAGCTCACAAGCTGTAGATTTTCTTGAGTTTCATTTTCCTTCAGAATATACAAAGCTGTATCCACTGACAACCAATGACAAGATTTTCCTAAAAAGAAAAACATTCCCAACACAAATGCTTAATATTGGCACAAAATTGTTTTTCTTTGACCCCCAAAGTAGATATTTCCATGGTATTTATAATGTAGATCCCTGCTAATGTAAGAAGGTAAAAAAAGGATCCATTATACGCTACTGGGACTCCCATCCTGTTTAGGCTGATCAGATAAATTGTTCTTGTGTTTGTCTTACAGGTAATGATTACTTTAAATAGTTCAAATATTAAAACCCTTGCTAGTTAAGGAAGCTAATTTCATTGTCTTCTGCCATTAGAACAACATTATTATTTCTCACTTTTCTTTATACTAAGGCTCCTAGATATTTGCAATTAAGGATGCTAGCAAAATTGTATTATATTCTCATCCGATGTTCTGTAAAATACTGTTAAACTCAGCTTGACTGGAAACCCAGATTACGTGCAAAAGCTAGTGATACCAAAAGATGTAAATCTCAGAAGTATAAATTTCAATCATTTTTAAGATTTAAATAGCAAGATCCTCCCGCATAGCATCACGCATAATTTGTTTGTCTGATCATGTGTGATTTGTTTTGGGTTGGGTTGGAATGGAGGCCTGGTCTTAGATTCAAATGCCACCAATGTTGAACAGATGTCATTTGACTCTCTTTGATTTCTTGTAGCTGCTCAGCTCCTAAGGGCAATCAATCAATGAGCTATTAAGTGGTCTTCAAGTTAATCAGAGCAAGCAAACCCATGCATATAGGGGCTTAATTTTTCAACAGTTAGGAGTCCAGATTACCAAAGAGTGGCTACACACCACACAACTTCGTTAAAAATTTGAAGATATTTTTGATTTCTCATAAAAAGGTAATTGCTTTGCTGACATGAATCCTTTCCTTACATACCAGTATTATGCCTTCCTCTTCACAACAAAACAGATATTTCACAACAAAAAGATATTTCTACATACAGGACAATGATATTGTGCAAAAATAGAATTTTATTTTTTTAAGTAAATACTCTTTTGGTTCCACAGAATGCCTGGACAATTCTGCAGCAGAACTATTCTAAGGCACAGTTTAAGAGGGTGCCACATGGAAAAAGGAAAGTTACGAGCAGAACACTGAGACATCCTGTTACTCAAATCTAATCTATTAGTATCAGATCGCTTTTCCTCACCATTAGAAGTTTGTTGATCAACTTCTCATCTCAAACAGGTAGTAACTGGAAAATGACAACTTTCCAAAAATTACCAGCAGTGAAGTTTTTATCACCAAGCTCAATCAGAATCAATTACCAGCCTGTGGCACAATAGCCAGTGCAGATGAATCTAAAACATCTTTGGGCTCTAATGGCTCCTCTTTCATGAGATTAAAGAGGAAATAATCTACTTGGGAAAAAAATAATTCCAATATAGCCAATAGATAAAGCCCCTTCATAAATCACCAGAGAGAGCAAAGCCAATAGTGTTTGGAAAAAATGGAGCACAAGGCTGATCTCAGGTGGCCTAATGCTGGGCTTCATTCTTAAAATGAAAATGGGCAAACTAAGATATAAATTTCTCAGAGAAGATTCACAATCAAAGAACACAAGATCTTTCAGACAATATTCAGTGAGTTTTGTGGTGGCGTTTCGCACAAAATACATCAACACCTTAAAGAGAGATACTGCAAACAGTGCAAACATTTCCATTTTGTAGTAAGAAACTTCACAAATCTAAGGCCAAAAATAATCAAAGAAGTCGCCTGACTACGAAGAGAAGCGTAATGGACTCACCTGATATTCACTGCCCAGGCAGGGAGCACAAAATGACACAAAGTATTGAAAGTGAGAAAGGGAGAGACGTTATCAGCAGGAGGAGAGAAAATAATTTTATAGAGGAAAATTCTCCAAAGAAATAGGAGAAAATACAGTCTAACAAGTGAAGTTATATTTTCAATAGGATTCTGTCTAGAGAAAAATATTGCTGTATTGCAATATCACAAAATATCGTATTGAAAGTGAGAAAGGGAGAGACGTATCAGCAGGAGGAGAGAAAATATTTTTATAGAGGAAAATTCTCCAAAGAAATAGAAATACACTCACCTTCTACCTGACGAAGGTTTAAAGGCTTGATGGTAATACATACTGCAGACCTTTGAGGTAAGTGCAACCTGTACTTGTGACTAATGATTTCACCATCTTCTTCTAAGTAGAAGCATCCTTTGGACTGTGCACACTGCCATTCCTGGAAACCAAGCAAATATTAGATGTCACCTTCATCTGTGATTAAGATAAAAGCGCCTTCTCAAAAATATTCATTAATTTGACGATTTAGTAAATCCTGCATAAAAATATACCACAAGACACAGCACTGATCTTTTTTTTTTTATTAATTTTCTCAAATAGCCTTTTTTGTGTTCAATTTTTGCAAATACAGCACTGATCTTCTTTTTTTTTTTAATTAATTTTCTCAAATAGCCTTTTTTGTGTTCAATTTTTGCAAAGCAGGTAGTAACACTGCTTCACTTGTGAAAATGCTTGAAAAAACATACAGATTACACCAATGCTCAAATAGTGGAAATGAAATTTATTTGCCATGAAGAATCAAACTGAATTCATGTTATTCTTTGAACTGTGTGATTTACCACTGAAAGGCTGGAATTTTGCTACATTAGTTCCATCAGGCCAATCAAGCAAAGAATGCAACTGATTAGCTGAACAAAGAGGAGTTATTTGCTCAGACAAATCACAAACACAGCTACTGGTCAAACTGTGTGATTCTTCTTGACTTTTGTCAAAGCTACTGGAGAGATGTAAACTGAAAACAGCTCTGCTGTGAATAATATGGTTTTCAAAGATGCTATGATTTTGCTGAGGTGCTCTAACAGCTACATGCTTCGTTTTTTTATTCATTTTTAAACAGCAGGTCACAATTTTCAATTTCAAATATAACTTCAATGATACTTCTTTAGCAAAATAAAAATAAAAGTCCTTAAAAACATATTGTATTCCTTGAGGAACGCAAGACATTCTTGATTTGCCTTCCCTGGTCTGAATTAAGTCCATTATTTCTAGTCACTCTCAATGGAAGATAATGTCTTTATCAGAAGGTGGTAAGTTTATCATGAAGATAAACAGTCTTCATCAGTGCTACATTTCATTTCTCCTCTTAAAGAACCAGTTCTCATTACGTCACATTCGTGCTCAGTTGATGGCAATGGTCCATGACCTAAAGGTGTCAGGCAAGAATTGGACTTTACTGGTGTCTGTACACCCAGGATGCCAAGTAACACGCTCGGTAATACAGTTAGCTCTGATCCTGAATTTCACTGAATTTCACTGAATTTCTTTAGCTCTGATCCTGAATTTACATTTCTCCATTCAGAACTCTGTATTTAAGAATATATATATATATATATATATATATATTACCTGGGGACTCACGGATTTAAGAGCCACCAGCCCTGTGCCACAATTTTGCCCCTGATTTCTGCAGGAACAGGATCAACTCCTCTGTGTTAAACTTTTCTCATTCAAACATTACCAAATCCATCTTCATTATACTCCTTCCTGCCTTAAGAACTTTTTAGAAATTAATCAAAACAAAGAGAGATGTACTTTGAGAAAGCTAACTGCCTGTATTGGTATAGAAAAACTGCAGAATCTAATACTATCTCTTACATCATTTTCTGCCTCTGAATCACTCTTATCTTACACATTTCACCCAAATAGCACAAACACAAAAAGGGGTCCAATCTAGCAAAAGGGGTCCAATCAGAAGGAGTAAATGGCAAAGAAATGAACAGAGACAAAATTTACTGAGACTTAATGGTGAGAGTTAAATGTTGAGCAACAAATGGGGTTCTCTCAGTCAAACAAGTGGATAATGGGAGTTGACATTAACATCAGTCTCAACATAAATCTGTGCTATAATCTGTAAAATCATTCTAGTAGTACTCCATTCTCTGTTTATTCCAATACTTGCATGACTCCTAACTTTGTCTAAAGTCTATATACAGCAAACTGAGATTTTTCCTTAAAACTTGACAGCTGAAATCAGCTTAGAGACTGAATGAGCCAACAATGAGTTAATACCTTATGAAACTGAAAAATTAATGGCATTTTGAAAAGACCAAAGTCAAAAGGTCTTGCTAAGGAAACATCGCTGTTTTTTGAGACATAAAAGAGCACAGTATAAGTTTATATAGCAATCCAGATGTACTATAACTACTTAAAGAGATACTCTGACAATTTTCACCTACAAAAATTACTTTAACAGCCACGTTCTATTCCCCCTTTCTCGCTATGGCAGTGGCCTTCAAACCATCATCTCAGACACTCCATGAGAGTAGCTTTGTCCTGTTTGTTTACCTTCCATTTTCTAGCTGTTATTTCAGATGAAAGACCACTTTTTTTTTTTGCAGGTTTTCATTTAGACAGACATTGCTACACCAGGGACATGAAACAATCCAAGTAAGCAGGGAAAATACCTCGAGGTTAAGGTGTGAGCAACAGTAAAGAGAAGTTTGACAGTGCTTTAGGAATCAAATACTGAAGTGCTGTTCTTGCAGAGAGCGTAAGGTGGTGCTATATTCTCTAAATTATCCACCTCAAATTACAAACAGGAATGTAAACTGGGGGAGCTAAAAGATGATTTTCTGTTTTGGTTTTAGTATGTCACTTCAAAGCATAACATGAGTTGTCAAATAATAGCTAACGTAGTGGGAAACATTTGTATCAGAAATGTTAATCATCAAGACATGTCAGCCACTACCTGCTGCTGCCAGTGCTGGCCGCTGCCCAAATAACACGTTCCACTGCTATTTCAATTTCACTTAATACTGAAATTGTCCACACACTCATGCAGAATTCCAAATAAAAAGCAACGTTTGTTCCTATGATTAGAATACAGAGCTTCACTTCAACGCTTTCTCTTGTACAAACCTGTTCCATGTTGTTTATGCACATCTGTAGCACTTTTAACTATTTTTTTTCTCTCCAAAGTTATTTACACGGCTTTGAACATGTCACAAAACTCCACTGACAAAAAAGAAGAATGGAGAACATGGAAGAATATACTATGAATTATACATTCTATGTTTTCTAAGGGGTTTTACATTTAGACATTCCCCATGTTTCGACTTCCACTGTTTCCTTCTGACAGAAAAGTAAAGCTGGCATTGGTCCTACTTCATTATGGCAATATTTTCTTACTGTCCCCAAAAGACAGGTGAACTGCAGAAAAAAAAAAGTATTTCTGACTATAAGATAGATAAGAAGAAATTTTGGGTGCTAGATTCTGATCCGCACCCAAATGAATCGTTGTGTATTTATTCATTGATTTTGACAAAGTTTACATCGTGTGCTTAATAGTTAGGCTTAAAAAAATGTAGTAGTTCTACTTACACCTTTTCATGTTTATTGATTGCTTTCACTTTTTGTATGATGCTAATCAATAGCAATCGATATCTGCTTTTTTTTCAGTCAGTTCTTACTGGCTTGTACAAAGAAAGAGGAATCCAATATTGGGAAACAGTGCGATGGTTTTATACACCACATATCATGTTTGAACAAGGTGAAATTGCAGGTTAAATTGCATGGAGGTCCAGATACCTAAACAGACTGCAAAAAATTCCTCGGAGGTTATGTTTTTAAATTTTAATATAGAACAAGTGTCACCGTATAGCAATGTCGAAGATATAAAGGACTTCAGAGTTCAATAACAAATACAGAGTTGTTATTTGAAACAAAAATGTAGCTCATGAGAACAATCAGTTCAGTTTTCCAGCAGCAGTTACACTATGTGGTCATAACCATTTTTTCCCTTTTATACAGGAGTCTCAAGGTGCACATTTTTAATGCATCCTAGCAGTTTCCAGTTAATGTTTTATATTTCTACAGCTATTATTTTCTGTTGAAAGAAAACTAGTAAAGGTTCAGTCAAGAAAGGGAAAACAAAGGAAAAAGATCAATATTAACACTCTACAAATATTGACTTAGGAAAGTGACTTTGTTGTCTTTCTCCCACAGGAATTTATATTGAATGAGTGATTTATTTAAAAGAAAATACTGATGGAACGTATTAGTCTAACTAAAAATCAATATTTTCAGGCTACAGCATATATTTACAAATTAATGCCCAACAAAGTGAATATGCTCACAGATCTGTTATTTATTTCCAATTACCTTTCATATAAAGGTTTATGATACACAATCTTTCAGACTACTTAAGCATTTAAAGTTCTCACCAACCTAATAAATTATTAAATTTTAAATTTCTCAAAAAGTCATTAAACGTTTTATCCAACAGTGGTTTCATTTATAAAAAACACACTTTGTTCTATTAAACCTTCACACCTGAAAAATTATTTTCAATAACTAGATGTCAGCAAAACCAACAGTATATAAAAATGTTAATAATAATATGTATGAAGAAACCTCTCAGGAGTTTATAGCCGCCCTTGACAAACTATTAATAAAACATAAGCTAAAAATCAGAGAAAAACGGTTTCTTATTTAAAATGCAATAACATATGTGCCTAGAGGAAAACAGCATAATTTTCAATAGGAGTAGCTTATGTGATACCTTCATTGTGTCTGGCTCAATTAGCTTTGTGTTTCTGTTGCTACCGGCACCCACGCTGACAGAGGTAGAAACGGATGCTTTGCAACTTTGAGCTGATGATGGTCTTGAAGGAGTTCTGCTATCAGCTATAAACAGAGGTATTTCGTTATAATTACACTCTTTCAAGTTACACATTGTGCTATTTATCATAAAGTCTTACATTTATAGGCAGAGAAAAATCCAACAACAAGAACTTCAATTGGATAAGCTGACTTCCCTTGTAATTATATGACATTTAATGACTCTTTTATTCTCTGACCGTACATCTCGGGTCAAGGGGCAAACGAATGGCAGAACCTTGGAACCCAAATCTGCCTGAAGGACACCACGTGATTCCATTTACTTGATAATTAAGGTGAATCTGTCCTAAGTGGAAAGATTTAACCTGTTTCTAATTTAAAGTTATTTCTTTTCAGGACAATGTAGTTTCCCTGCCAGACAGCACATCACTTGGGCACAGCCGCCTTTACTTTCAGGTTCCTTATGTTGGGGCAACTCTTATGGTACAATTATTGATTTAGCTACATAAACTCAGTCTTCATCACTCAAAGCATAACATCAGTTGTCAAATAATAGCTAACGTTTTATTTTCCAAATAAAAAGCAACGTTTGTTCCTATGATTAGAACACAGAGCTTTAGTTCAACACTTTCTCTTGTACAAACCTGTTCCATATTGTTTATGCACATCTGTAGCACTTTTAACTATTTTTTTTCTCTCCAAAGTTATTTTCATGGCTTTGAACATGTCACAAATCCACTGACAAAAAGAATGGAGAACATGGAAGAATATACTATGAATACATTCCATGTTTTCTAAAGGGTTTTACATTTAGCCATTCCCCGTGTTTTGACTTCCACTGTTGCCTTCTGACAGAAAAGTAAAGCTGGCATTGGTACAGAGCTTCACTTCAACGCTTTCTCTTGTACAAACCTGTTCCATGTTGTTTATGCACATCTGTAGCACTTTTAACTATTTTTTTTCTCTCCAAAGTTATTTACACGGCTTTGAACATGTCACAAAACTCCACTGACAAAAAAGAAGAATGGAGAACATGGAAGAATATACTATGAATTATACATTCTATGTTTTCTAAGGGGTTTTACATTTAGACATTCCCCATGTTTCGACTTCCACTGTTTCCTTCTGACAGAAAAGTAAAGCTGGCATTGGTCCTACTTCATTATGGCAATATTTTCTTACTGTCCCCAAAAGACAGGTGAACTGCAGAAAAAAAAAAGTATTTCTGACTATAAGATAGATAAGAAGAAATTTTGGGTGCTAGATTCTGATCCGCACCCAAATGAATCGTTGTGTATTTATTCATTGATTTTGACAAAGTTTACATCGTGTGCTTAATAGTTAGGCTTAAAAAAATGTAGTAGTTCTACTTACACCTTTTCATGTTTATTGATTGCTTTCACTTTTTGTATGATGCTAATCAATAGCAATCGATATCTGCTTTTTTTTCAGTCAGTTCTTACTGGCTTGTACAAAGAAAGAGGAATCCAATATTGGGAAACAGTGCGATGGTTTTATACACCACATATCATGTTTGAACAAGGTGAAATTGCAGGTTAAATTGCATGGAGGTCCAGATACCTAAACAGACTGCAAAAAATTCCTCGGAGGTTATGTTTTTAAATTTTAATATAGAACAAGTGTCACCGTATAGCAATGTCGAAGATATAAAGGACTTCAGAGTTCAATAACAAATACAGAGTTGTTATTTGAAACAAAAATGTAGCTCATGAGAACAATCAGTTCAGTTTTCCAGCAGCAGTTACACTATGTGGTCATAACCATTTTTTCCCTTTTATACAGGAGTCTCAAGGTGCACATTTTTAATGCATCCTAGCAGTTTCCAGTTAATGTTTTATATTTCTACAGCTATTATTTTCTGTTGAAAGAAAACTAGTAAAGGTTCAGTCAAGAAAGGGAAAACAAAGGAAAAAGATCAATATTAACACTCTACAAATATTGACTTAGGAAAGTGACTTTGTTGTCTTTCTCCCACAGGAATTTATATTGAATGAGTGATTTATTTAAAAGAAAATACTGATGGAACGTATTAGTCTAACTAAAAATCAATATTTTCAGGCTACAGCATATATTTACAAATTAATGCCCAACAAAGTGAATATGCTCACAGATCTGTTATTTATTTCCAATTACCTTTCATATAAAGGTTTATGATACACAATCTTTCAGACTACTTAAGCATTTAAAGTTCTCACCAACCTAATAAATTATTAAATTTTAAATTTCTCAAAAAGTCATTAAACGTTTTATCCAACAGTGGTTTCATTTATAAAAAACACACTTTGTTCTATTAAACCTTCACACCTGAAAAATTATTTTCAATAACTAGATGTCAGCAAAACCAACAGTATATAAAAATGTTAATAATAATATGTATGAAGAAACCTCTCAGGAGTTTATAGCCGCCCTTGACAAACTATTAATAAAACATAAGCTAAAAATCAGAGAAAAACGGTTTCTTATTTAAAATGCAATAACATATGTGCCTAGAGGAAAACAGCATAATTTTCAATAGGAGTAGCTTATGTGATACCTTCATTGTGTCTGGCTCAATTAGCTTTGTGTTTCTGTTGCTACCGGCACCCACGCTGACAGAGGTAGAAACGGATGCTTTGCAACTTTGAGCTGATGATGGTCTTGAAGGAGTTCTGCTATCAGCTATAAACAGAGGTATTTCGTTATAATTACACTCTTTCAAGTTACACATTGTGCTATTTATCATAAAGTCTTACATTTATAGGCAGAGAAAAATCCAACAACAAGAACTTCAATTGGATAAGCTGACTTCCCTTGTAATTATATGACATTTAATGACTCTTTTATTCTCTGACCGTACATCTCGGGTCAAGGGGCAAACGAATGGCAGAACCTTGGAACCCAAATCTGCCTGAAGGACACCACGTGATTCCATTTACTTGATAATTAAGGTGAATCTGTCCTAAGTGGAAAGATTTAACCTGTTTCTAATTTAAAGTTATTTCTTTTCAGGACAATGTAGTTTCCCTGCCAGACAGCACATCACTTGGGCACAGCCGCCTTTACTTTCAGGTTCCTTATGTTGGGGCAACTCTTATGGTACAATTATTGATTTAGCTACATAAACTCAGTCTTCATCACCGTTTTGTCACCTTTGAACCTCTTCGGTACCACCCAGAATTGAAGCAGCTTACAATAGTGCTCAGTATGTGCCAATATTTCATACATGGTACCATTGCAGTCTGTTTTGTTTTGTCACCTTTGCACCTCTTCGGTACCACCTAGAATTGAAGAAGCTTACAATTTCATACATGGTACCATTGCAGTCTGTTTCCAGCTTGGGAAGGTTTGCAAATAACTTTGTAACTTCAGGAAGAATGTTAAATTCTCACATCAATTGTGATTGAAAATAGCCTCGATAATTTAAACAGAATGTTTATGATAAATGTTTAAGGTTTCATCTCTGCTATGGAAAAAAACCCAAAACATTGCAATAGAGCAAATCTGAGCATTCATTTTCTCTCTTCCCTCTGGACCGTGTCACATGAGAGTCAACAAATCTCACCCTTAAGAACTCAAGGCCTTCAGATCATAGATGCAGCCAAAGTCCATGTGGACACAGGGGTCAGATATTCTACTGAGACATTTATGTGATTGCCACAGTAGAAATTTATATTAGTCAAAAACATCCTCAGTAATCGGAGAAAAATTAAGTAAATACTCAACTGTTCATTGACCAAGAGCATGAACTCCAACAGAATGAGAACTCCCAATGTGAAATATAAATACCTTTTGCTGGTGCTGGTTTGTGATCGGTTTTCCTCGAGATTCTGGGTGATGGTTTGGACACCGGTGGTGTGATCCCTTCAGAGGAAGTTTCAGTTTGATTTCCAAACTGCTGCTGCCTCAACCGACTGTCAACTTCCAGCTTCTCTCGCGCAGTCTTGCAGCACTGCTCACTGGTTGTCAGGTATAAGTCACAAAACTTTAAATAAAGAGAAGTAAGCTGTTAAGTGAAACATTCCTTCTCACAATTTTAAGGATTAAAATTTAACATTAGTAAGGAAAGGACAGATCAATAGATGTAATGCATTTTCTCTTAAAGCATAATATTAATTTTCATTAATCAGGGCAACCGCGCAACTGGCACAGTAAAAATGGAGCCATGATTCAACAGGGAGGTCCAATACTGCATGAAAATTACCAAGAGGTGATTTATATTTCTTTCTAGATATTTGAAGACTCATTATTATTTTATGGGGGGTTGTTTTTCTCCTACAAAACTAGGTTTATGTACAAATCTTTGTGGATTGTTTATTCAGCTCAAAACCTAGTCATTGCTTAGAGATGATGCCAAAAAAGCTGGTAAGATGTCGCATCTTCAAAATTAGACATTCAACACGTACAATATGAAATTATCAAGTGTCAGAGACACAGCATCTCTCACTGATTGACTAAGTTTGCTGTCAATTGTCATCTTTATCCTGCTATTCCTTAACTCTTATCTTCACACACGCTGTTAGGCTTCATGCTTACTATTAGGCTCTGCCCAATACATTGAGTTCACTTGCAGCAAGTGACTGTTTCAATTGCCAGGACAGTGTGTTGTGAGATAAAATGTGGGAAACAGAAGTATATACCAGCCCATGCTGCACTAAATAGGCCATCTGGGGGGGCTTGGGCAAGGTCATCAATGGATCAACACACGGAGGTGGTATGTATTGCATTTGATAATGCTAATACTGCCAGTAACGTTAAGCCAAAAACACAAGAACAACTAATACCTTGTTGTAGTCAAGTTTGCCACCACAGTTAAAATCCACTTGTTTAATAATGGCACTCACTTCATCCCGCGTCATTTTTTCACCTCTCTGCAATAAAAACAACTCAGTTTGGGTGCCTAATCAAGAATGCTGTTCACCTACAGTACACATTTAATAAAAACACAAAGAAAGATTATATCATTTCAGGGAATCTTATCTTGCAACACATTTAAACAAACTTTGATTTGAATCACCAAAATAGAAGTCAGTATCTTAAAAAATGTCCCTACAATGCTACTAAATACTGAACAGATGAATTGCACCAGTTTATACAGTTTTGTGGTGTCTTCTGGAACCCTACTGTGAATGATATTTACATCAATTACAGAAAATCTTCCATAAACTGGGGAATCGTCTGGGGAATCTAGTTCCATATATTTTTTTAATGTCATTCTTTTAAGCTGTATTAATGACATGTACAGGTAAGCCTTATGATACTTGCATGCTTTGGGCTGATAATGCATAATCTCTAACCAAAGTATTAATCTATCCTAGCACAACTTATCTTAAGACCCCAACGAACTACAGATCATCATAGCTGGGATAAAACTAAACCACTGACCTTAGTATTTTATGTCTAACTTGGATAAATGTTATCTTTTAACTTTGTATCTGAACACACATAGACAACTTGTGAGGAGAGAACAGCAAAGATACGTCATCAACTGCCTTAATAAAAGTTCATAACCCCAAAAGGCTGCAGAGGGATTCTGTAGTGTAAATCCCCCTGTTCTCTGACTTAACCAACGCAGAGACTTTCTGTTACTCCACTGCAGTATAGATAGGATTTCAAGAAAACACTCTTTGAAAGCATGAAAAAATATTTTCTCTGCCAGCTTCCACCTTCAAGGTGCAATTGCTGAAAGAGACTGACAGGTTATCAACTGCAAGACTACAAGGGGGGAAAATGGAAGAAATATCATAGATAACCACAGAAAACTAGACATAAAATTGAAAAAAAACCCCATGAATCAGTTATTCATTCTTTTGATCAGGAATTTTTGTTTACACATTCAGAATTGTTTCCAAAAATTCCTACTAATGGTTAAAGATGGATAACTGATTTTGTACTGATACTTACTGTTGTAAGAATTTTATAAAGTTCATCATGTAAAATATATCCAGTGTTATCTGTGTCTATTTTTCCAAATGCTTCCAGCAGTTCAGTTTTTGTAGCCGGTTTTTCTTTTTTTAAAATAGTACAAAAATCATCAAAATTCAGTGTAGTGGTTTGTGAAGTCCAATATTTATTAACTGTCTTCTGAGATGGATTTCTTCCAGCCTGTTGAAGTACTGAACAATAAAACATACTATTAACTGTATACTCCAGCTGTCAGTAAAGGCGTTTTCTCAAAACATCCTTTAATCACTTTCCATATTTGGAAAACTTTAACTTTCTTTAAAGGCAAATCAATCTAAGGGAAAAGCAGGTCTGAAGGACAGTTCTGCTTATAGTCTCAATCCTGTGCTCTACTGATACAGACTGACTGTGATCTTCCCTGGCCTTGGATTCCGTGGTTTGTAGCAGCGAGGTTCAAGCAGCCCGAGGGGCAGATGAGCTCACTCACATATTCTTCTGAAAGGGGTCATCAAACAGGCAGTGCCTGGTATCCTACATCATCCCTCGCCAACTCTGATCCAGCACAGAGATGACACATGCTGCACTCACTTTCTTCTACAGAAGAAGGAAGAAAGCCCAGAGCAGCCTGTGACTTTATAACACAAGGAATATCACAGGAATTATTTTGCTTAAAGGCTCTGGTCTGCAGCTTCCACTTATTCGTGTACACTGTTTTACTAAACTCAGTGGGATGTTTCCCTTAAAGAAACTTAATGGGCTCAAACCAGCAATTAACAAAAATATCCATTAATTCAAAGACAAGCTCCTCAAGAGACAAGTGTAAATTTCAGCCCAGTGTCTATATCTCCTGTCTTAATATCAAGAACCTATTATTTGTAAGCTTGCACATTATTAGATCCCTTTTCTACCGAGATCCACATAAGCCTTTCCATTTACTTTGCCAAGAATTGAGATCAGGTGTAGAATTTATCTTCAACAATCTTTTATATCACATCTATACGTTTGAACTTACCAATTCAAATTACGCAATGTGAATTTCAAATGTAAAGGAAAAATTATACCAACAGACACCAAAATAGTTAAGGCCAACAGCCAATACCATAAATGCCACCAGTCCCACTGCTCCTACACCTGGCATTCTTCAAAATGAATTTGCTGGATATAGTTAGCCTCTTAAAAGTCTTTACTGAAAACACCCTTTCATTAGTTTCCAGTGTGAAGAAGGTATTATGTTAAATTGAAATTCAATTCAAATGCAGAGTCTATCTGAAACTGGAGGGATGCTTTTATATCTTCCCATATAATCAAGGTTTTTAGGGAAACGAGAGATCTTCCATCTCTACCTAGGCTGGCAGTTTGGTTTTTAGCCAGCTGACCAATGACCAAGTCTATCCTGGCTGAGAGCAATTCGGGAGCATCTGTGAAATGAGGTGGTGGCATCGTTACAAATCTCAGTAGGCAACTGTGTCACCATAAAAACAAACAAACAAAACCAGACACCTTTGTTGCTAATCTTCCATTGAATGCCAAGGACTAAATAAAGATTTCTGCCCTGTCACCACTACAAGCGAGTCAGGAGAACACAGCAAAGCTCACATCTGTACCCATGCCACGCTTGGGCACGTAGCAATTGTTTAAGGATTTCAATGTCAAGGTCAGCCAAAGAAGGGCAGTTACTCTGTGTGTTTGTTCAAAGCTCACATCTGTACCCATGCAACGCTTGGGCACGTAGCAATTGTTTAAGGATTTCAATGTCAAGGTCAGCCAAAGAAGGGAAGTTACTCTGTGTGTTTGTTTACGGGGACAGCCAAGTTCCCTGGAATGTCGATACAGCACAGTATTCCCTTACATTTAACAGAGTATCCTTCAAGCATATGACAATTCTGTGTTTTCATATATTCTGGGAGATCAGCACTCGCCATACCCTACGTGCCTCCCAAGTTTGTATTTTTGAAAGTTCAGTTAGTCTGCACCTTTTATTTATGCTTCTTTACAGACTGATTCTGCTAAATACCTTAGGTAATATTACAACCCAGGAAATGAAGCTACTTACTGTGAATACATACAACTCCTAGGAATACAATTTTGCAGGGCCAATCTCTAAGAGAGTATTTCACAGTTTACAGTATTAGCCAAACATCATGTAGCAAGAGATGATTAAACACTGGCATCATTCATTTGATAAATGCCAGAATTTACTTAAGATGCAATATAAGTCTATAATAACTCTCAATACTTACAAATTCTAAAAGAAGTCTTTAAATATCTCTGAAAAGACTGGGAGCCTGAGCCACTAATTGCCCTTTCTGAGTTGATTTTGAAACCAAAATGCCCAAACACTTGCCATCTAGTGAAGTGGCATATGGATAGAGATGAAAGCAAAAACATATAGAAAAGAGATGACATTAGTTCACACCACTCGTACCTTAAAATCCAGATGATCCAAAACTATCATTATGCTCTTTTATTACAGCTCAGAAAGCCTGGATAACACTAAGTCACATGCTGAAAGAACATGCTTGCTAATAATGCCAGTTATCACGGAGATCTTCTGTGCCAGGGCAATTGCCCACTAAAAACTGAACTGAGACCAACTCACTTAATGATTTGTAGGAGGGAAAAATTTATTGCAGAAATGTCACAATCAAAAGGCAGTACCTAGGCCTGCCTCAAGCAAGCAACAGTGCTACCATCAAATTTGGTGGTGTTAAACAGCTCACTTAGGTCCCCTGTAAGCTGTCAGCTGGTATTGACTTTTGCCCATTCCTACTGGTGATTTACAGATGAAAAGCTCTGTGCACTATTCCCACTTCCACGAGTCATTCAACAGCTGGCAACAAAGATTAAGGATTTGAGGAAAATGAAAAACTTTGAGGAATGGTAGTTTCTATAAACTTTGAAAAATCACTATGTGACATATAACAGGTAAATGATGAAAATGTCTTCAAAGATAGAGCCACCAACACTTGAAATCTGAACCCTATCTAAAACTACTGTAAATTCCTTAAAACTGTTATAGAGTTTATACACTGGGATACTCTCACAACCGAATTGCTGACTGCTGTTTGTAAACTACTCACTGCAATCGTCACACACAATAGTTACGAGGAAAAAAGATCTAATCATTACCGAGACTGAGTTGTTCCTTTGATTTAATATTTTCTAAACTGCTTTTCAAAACTGTTAGGTAAGCTGCTCGGCAGTTCATGTAAAAGATTGCTTCTTCTGCATGCTGGGACTTCTTTGCTTGGGAGCTTTCTGAACATGTGACTTTCTGAATGGAGAGGGAGGCGTTATTCTCAGGGCTGCCGGCCATTCTGTGAAGAATACAATTACAGTTAGAATTCGTTACTTTCTTGCCTGTTTAACAACGTCTCTGCTTTATCGTCTCAAACACAGACTAACACAAATTATCCTAACAGCTAGGTCATACGTTTTCCCTTCTCTAAATCCAGGATGGGAATACACATCTACACTTGTAGGTAGGCACCATGAGATCTGCAAACAGAAAGAGCTTGAGCTCTACTTATTACCCACAATTTATCCTTTATTGGCAGTTAAAAGTTTCATTTTATTTTATTTTCAGACATTTTATATCACAATGATTATAGAACCATGTTACTTGAAAGCATAAAAACAAATTTTCAAGTAATCTGAGATACAAATCATTGCTATCCACGTTTAGAAGTAAACCACTAGGACTTGTCCTCACTACACGTTTCTACTAGAAGTTCTACTCTTGCCATGTTATCTAAATTCTCCAAATGACAGAAATAACAGGAGAATTTCTACAGAAGCACACTTCTTGGCTCTGATGACTTTACTACCATTGTCTATCCCTAACATGATTTGTCACAATGGTAAATTAAGGAACATACAATACCTACCACTGTTTTGCTCCCAGTGCCACTCTCTTTGTTGCTACAGTTCACCAGCAGTAGCAAAAGTGGCATTTTTTTTTTCCTAAAAACACTCCAGTTCAAACATGTCCTAATAGGCCATGTTTAAACATGTGTCTGACAGGCACAGAATTATTTAAAAGACTTTTGCACCAAACAACAAAGTAAATATTACCAAGAATGGATGCAGTGCTTATCTCTTATTTGTCAGGATTTCCTCCCTCAACTCTAAAGTTGACTTTTATCTTTCTACAACTGATTTAGCAAGAAAACTGGGTAGCTTTACAGAGCCTCAGCAGAGACATTGTATAATGTCATGAACACTATATAACATTCCATGTTAAAAAAGTGATATAATAATTATTAAATTGATTACATGCTTTTTTTCTGGTTCCTACAGCAGAATGGGCCTTTGTTTTCTGTTTTTACAGTTATACCTTGATTAAAGATAAAGCTAACAGTAAAACTGGTCAAAATTTAAACCCTTAATTTTTCAAGTATGTGAGGTTAAATACACTGAATTGTATTTTCAAGAGATATCTAAATATAATTAATAGAAACAGTATACCTGAAGCTAAGAATGTGCATAAAACTATGTAACTTAAATCTTTTACATACACTACCCATATAATTGTAAAACAATGAAAAAATCTGAAATGCATTTTTGCTAAATTATTACAATGTTTCAAGGCAGTTACTAATTCTGTTTGCTATCCAATGGCCACTAAACTTTAACAGCAGCTTTCTGCTCTTACCAAGGGTGATTAAGGTTTTTAGAAGGCCATCACAGAGGGATACTAAATCGTGTTGTACTGTTGGTCTAACAGCCTCTCATATTATTTTATCCAATGTTGACTTCAGAAAATATATTCCCGTATAATAAATTGAATATCTCAAGTTCAGCAACAAGACAACGACATCATAGGGTCCCCTTCAGGACTCATTGGATTTTTACTCAGGAGGCCTAAATCACTCGCACCTTCTTGAGTTATATAGGTCTTTTACACTTGGGAAAGAAAGATAATAATCGCTTATCATGGATGAAGTACCCTATTTATAATACACAGGCCGCCTGCCTGACACTTTAATATTACACTGGCATTAGAAGGACCCCATAGGGACACTGTGATACAGTCTGGTTACTGCAAACGGGTGTCACTATAATTAAGCGCCAGCGTTACACACACAAAATGGAAGCGGGTTAAAGTCAAGGAGGAAAAGAAGAATAAGTGTTAATTTTCCAGTAACTAGTTTATAAAATGTGAACTCTTCGTTTATACTCCTTAAGACTTCCCATTGCCGAGATATTTCTGACGTGGGCCACGGCTCTGCCAAGAAGGGCTGCCAATACATCTCCCGGAGACCCGGTGAGCAATGGCTCAGCAGCAGCACCACCAGCAGCCCCCTGCCTTTAGGTGGTGATGGTTTTTCTGGGCAAACGACACTTGAGACAAAAAAGACAGAATGGAGCAACCCAGCCTCCGCTGCTGAGGGAACACAACACAGCCCAACTACTACTTTCCATTCTAGTTCGATGATTCTAACAAATAAAAAGCATCTTCCGAGCAGGAATTAAGTCATACCCTTCTTGGCAACACTCACCTTTCCGAGGCCGTGGTTCACCTCCGTCCACAGCAAAAAATGGGGGAAAATTCTCTCTGTAGCTTCTTAACCTTCCGCGCCCAAGCACTCAGGCCTCGCTGGCCTGAAATGAGGAAACTTTTACCACATGAACTTCATTACCCCCCTCTCCGGTGGGCGCAGGCACCTTCTTGAGCAAAATTTACCACCCACCATCGCGCAAAAAACATTACAACCCCTTTTACCCCATCCCCTCAGGTGAGGGAATCGACTCTCCCGCCCCGCCCGGCGCCTCCAACCGCCCTGAGGGGCCGGCTTTAGCCTCGCCTCACCTCCCCAACCCAGCATAAACCTTCCCGAGGGGGAAAAGACCGGCACCGGCCCGGCTCTTACCGTCACACAGCACCGGGAGCAGGGCCTGGGGAGCCGGGGCCCTCGGCCGGCCCGCCCGAGCCGGGGCCCGCGTCCCGCCCTCTCAGCGCCGTTTCCAGCCGGCGGCGTTTGGCCGGTGCACGGCGGCGGGAGGCGGGAGCTCTGCAAAAAGGCGGCGGGAGCGGCTCCAGGCGCCGTAATGTCGTAAGTATCGGATAAGGGCGGCCGAGCTGGGCTCTGGGCGCCGCTCTTCTCCTCCTTCTCTTTCTCCTCCTCGCCGCCGGAGCGGGGCGGGCGGTGGAGCCAGGGCCGGTGCGGGACGCGGTGAGGCGGAGCGCTTCTCCTCCGCGGCCCGCCGGCTGCTCGGTGGCGGGGAGCTCCTTCCCTTGAGGAGAAATAAACTCCTCGGGTTGCCCCAAAGAGGGGAGGAGCAGGCGGCTGCCTGGGGAAGGGTGGGCTGTGTTTCTAGCTCTGTTTTCCAGCTGTTGGGTGGGACCGGGAACTAGTTAAGATGGTTGTTCTCGGGGCAGGGCCTTGTCCAAGCAGAGTTTGGGTGGGCAGTGCCCCTTGACACGGCTCTCTTGGGTCTCATATATATCCCCTCTATGTATGTTACGTGTTCTTGAGGTGCTGCCTCCAACTCTGGGGCCCTCAGCACAGGAAGGACATGGATCTGTTGGAACTGGGCCAGAGGAGGCCATGGAGATGCTGGGAGGGCTGGAGCCCCTCTGCTGGGAGGACGGGCTGAGAGAGTTGGGGGGGTTCAGCCTGGAGAAGGCTCCAGGGAGACCTTCCAGCCCCTTCCAGTCCCTCAAGGGGCTCCAGGAAAGCTGGGGAGGGACTCTGGATCAGGGAGGGGAGCCCTAGGAGGAGGGGGAAGGGTTGGACCCTGCAAGAGGGGAGATGGAGCTGAGATGTGGGGAAGAACTTGTTTGGTGGGAGGGGGGTGAGAGCCTGGCCCAGGTTGGCCAGAGAAGCTGTGGCTGCCCCATCCCTGGAGGGGTTCAAGGGCAGGTTGGAGGGGGCTTGGAGCAACCTGGTGTGGAGGGTGGTGTCCCTGCCCAGGGCAGGGGAGGTTAGAGGGAGGTGATCTTTAAGGTCCCAACCAAGAGACCCAAGGATTCAACCCAAACCATTCTAAGATTCTATGTCTGTTCCCAGCTTCCCCAGCTGAGGGGACTGTTTACCTCCACACACCCCATGGATAAAGCCTGTGAGGCTGTGTGGCAGGGGGTGGAAGAGGGACAGGATCCATGTCACAGATGGGTTGTGTTGAGTTTGACACTGGGGGTTTGTGCTGCAGGCTGCTGTGGGAAGGTATGGCAGGCCATGACACATTCTGTGTCAGTTTTCCATCAGGATGTCTCTTTGTAGTGTCTTCTGTTCTTATCTATCCCATTTAGTCGTGTAAGTCTGATGCTATTCTTGTGTATCTTTGCTCATAATGAGCTTCTGAAGAACGATAAAGAAAACATGTAGGATGTTGCTAGCTTCAACAGCAGTAAGGTGAGGCCATATGACTTACTCTGCCTGTATATAGGCTTGGGATATTTTCCTTCGTGCGATTTCAAAGATAACACAGGTTCCAACTTCTACCAGTCTTTCTTTTGATCACTGGAAGTTGAAATAATCATGCCAGACAGTAGTAATACAAGGGAAACTTAGCAATATACAAGCTTTGATTTTTCTGGTCTGTTTCTCGCTAATTGCATACTGAGTTTAACTACCATTTAAACTGAATGTAGAATAGGATCATACATTTTTTCTGCTTTTCCAATTAAAAAATGTTTTTACTGGCAGGTTCTGAAGATGAAGCAATATGTAAATAGCATAGAGATGATTTTTTGTGGTGTTTTGGGTTTTTTTTTCTCCAGTAAAGCAGAAGCTTAAGAGGAAGCTAACTCAAATGGCTTCAAAATGCACCATAATAATCCCTGGGTTTTTTTTTTAATGGAAGAATATAGTCAAGTCCCTGATTCTGTATGTGACTGCTACCACTGCATTCATTCACAAATGAATTATGAAGGGACGTTAAGTGTATGTGGGATTAAAAATAATATTTAAAAATCTGTTTCTTTATAGCAAGTTAGATTGCATACCTAGACTCTTACTGTTAAGCAGATAAGTGGTTTCATCAAATCACTGTTCAAGTGATTAAAGGTCTCCCAGTATTAGTGAGGAACTGAAAGTATGACCTGGAACGATAGATGAACAATACAACATAGAATTAATATGTAGTTCTTTAATTTCCCCATAATATTTATCAGATTAATCATTGGCAGGTTGTACAGCTACCTATAAATATGTGTCATCACACTCTACATTGCTGAGAAAATAAAATAAGCTTTGTCAGGGAATTTTGAACAAATTCAAGAGTAGGAAACTCAGGTAAATAAGCTGTTGTGTACTATCATCACATATGCTGCATCTTTCTATGTCCTTTTCTTGTTTACCCTCTGACATTTGATTCTACACCACAGCCAAAGCAAGGCTTTCAAGCCATATAAAAAAAAAAAAGATAAATCACACTAAAGCTGGTGCTCTTCCTCCACAGTGGTTCCTAAAATACGTTAGGAATTTTGTTTGCACCTAATTGCACGTATTGGTTTTTCTCCTTGTTCATCTTTTGAAAGATCTGAAATAAGACACTTTGACCAACTGGGTCTTCATGTTAGAAGTCTGGATGAATGTTGTTTCCGTGGCCCTAGCATGTAGGCTAAGAGCACAGATTTTAACTTATTTTGAGTGAATCACAGTTGCCGGAGATTTACCTTCCCATATTATGGCATCAGAAAGACAATCACTAAAAACAAGCCCACAAGCAATCCAGGCTGATGGGTAGGATGGAGTGGGAAAAGCAAGGCAGAGTTGACCTCCTGAAGCCAAGATTTTTATCCATGCAGCTCCTTCCAACGTTGAAGGGCGTGCCCGGAATGATGTTGCCTGTTTATCACCATAGCTCAGGGTGTTTGCAGGGGGTTTGTAGGCCAGCAGAGAGAAATTTGGGCTGGCTGCAACTCTATCGCTGTACACAGTACTTTGACAGACTTTAAAGAACATTGTCTTGACCAGTCCACAACTTTCTCTCTAAGAAATTTTCTAAATGTTTATAATTTAGTGGGATTTTCCTGTAGTTTCTCATATATCTTCATCCTACAGCTATGTTGAGTCCACATTCTGCTTTACTTTGGCTTCCAGCTTCTTCTGAAGTCCATCATAAAAACTTCCATCATAACATGCCTTAGTATAACATGCAAATGCATTGGCCCCTAGAGCATCCTTTCAGAGTAGATGTATTAATAAATATAATGTTTCTCTGCTGCCACTGGGGTGGAAGATGTAATGGAGTCTGCATTCCTTAAGCAATATGGGTTTCTATTTAAAAAAGAAATACATTGTAAAGAATTCCATCAAACTGTTACAGCTTTGACTGCCCTTTGGCAAGAATTTCACACACTTTTTTAATTTAAATGTTACCTGTTTACTTGGCTTTTTTAAGATAGAATGCTTCTCTTTCCCTTTTTGTAATAGAGATAGTTGTAAACCAGTATTCATATAAAACCGTTACCTGAGTTATATTTCAAAGATGTGTTTTCATTCTATTTTTCCAATACTTTAATTCACAGTTTCTGAATAGTAACATAAATTTAAAAACAATATGTTTGGAATGAGGTCATCTTAATTCCTTACAAGTCAAAGCATTTCTTTTCGAAGATGAAAACTGAACTAAGTTCTTGAAATATGATGCATTTTCTGAATCTTGTTTAATTTGATATAATAATGTGTTTCTTGGAGACTGTTCTTATAAAGGTTTTAATATTTTTTTTCCTCATTGTTTCAGATAATGCTTTAAACTATTGTTAAGATTTAGGAATGTGCTTAAAAAGTTTCAGTTGTCTCTGGGAAAAATAGTCTTAATTTATGTTGACCTTTCTTTCCTTTGAGCATTTAGTCTGCATTCAATAAAATTTTGATGACTGCTCTTTAGAAGACAGCTGTACGATGTAAAGTATTATAAATATTCAGCTTTCCTCTTCTAGCGTTGCCATTAACAGCTGGGCATCCAGTTCAGCAGAGCAGATTTTGCAGAGAGAGCTTGGCATGTTCCTGAATCAGTATAGTGAAGAAGACTAGAAAATAGTTTCTTATGGTTTGGGGACCTGTAAAGACATAGAGCATCTGTTCCCCAGTTAAGTCATAGTCTGGTAGCACTGAATCATGTTAAGAGCTAAAATGATGGGAAGAACTACTTTTTTCACCTTGGCTGTACCTGTGTTTTAAATGCCTAATACATTATTTCTACTAATGGCAAAATAATTTCAACCCTTGCTCAGAAGGTATGTAAATATTAATGCTTTTGCATTTTTTCATTGTTTATAGTCTTTGAGAAAGAGACAAATGTACAGTGCGATTTTTACTTCACTGTATTTTTATCTCTAGTATAAAGTGGAGAATTGGATTTTCTTATGCAAACATTTTATCATTCTAAACAACCGATGTTTTTATTATACGGTATTTTAATCAGCTAATGCATTTGCTTTGGGTGAGATCAGATTTCTCGTGTAGTATAAAAAAAAATGTGAAACACAAGAAAGGAAAATGTCTTTAAAATTACAGATTATAGACCTTACTACTGGCAATCTTTGTGTCTAGGTGACCATAAAACTTGTCCATATTTTTCTCTTTCAGAGTTAAGAGAGCATTAAATTTGGACACAAAAGATATTGTAAGTATTTTTTGGTGTATGGAATCATCTGGGCTGTATGTGTATATGTGCCTGTGTGTATATATATCTACATGCACACACGTGTGTGCATATAAACATGATATTTCATTAGAGTTGCATTGTTACAGATTGGATGTTGTCTAGAAAAATCTTAACAAGGCACAAAATTACCGCTGAAAATATTAGTATAAAATTTATTGTATTCCATTTGTCATATAACTGCCTGGCTTTTTAGTAATCTGCATGAATCACATGAAAAGAATGGAGAAATATGCATATTTTTATTGCCATCTCTATTTACCCAAGAGCTGAATGAGTTAAGATCCTTGGTGAAAATATTTATTAGAAATTAGCTCCATTATCCTGGAAGCAAATGTTCTGCTGTGTAATTGTACATCTAACAATATGGAATTATGATAATGCTGTAATCTGCATATTATAAACTGCAAAATTGAAATGAAAACACTAAAGGCATTTTCATGTCAAGGATCTAATTACCTCCCTCAGCTAATCTGGCATAATGAAACAATAAAGTACTAACACTGCAATAAATTTCACCACGGTTATCACAATAAAAATAAAATTGTACTGTTGCTATTATTTTTTGTAAATGCAGCTATAGTATACTCCTGGTACCGGCATGTCATGACATATGTCAGTTTATTATCTGCTCCTACCAACAGTGGGTGTTGCTGCAGACATCAATAGAGAGGAGCTTGTGACGATGGTAGCGTTTAAAGGAAGGAAAATTTTGGAAAAGTGTTGAGAGAGAAATAGCTTGGTCAGCAGATGAGCTCCCAATAAATCTCCACGCCTGTGCCATTTTGAAGAGATTTGTTTATATGCAGCACATATTTGGAGGTCTCACTGGGATTTAGCAAAATAGAAATTTGCAATTTTAAAAATTTTCTAGATACTTTTTTTTTTTTTTTAAATTTAAACAAAGGTGGCAAAGTACCGCAGTGGCACTAAAAAAAATCATTAGCAATTTAATTAGCAGCTTAGTGTACCATTACCCAACTTGTTCTGCTCAGAATGCAGCTGTGACTGTAATTTTGCATCTGTTTCTTGGGCTGTAGTAACGTTTCTGTAGATGAGTGGTCCAGCTGAAATTACAGGCAATTCTTTTCCTGCCTTAAAGCTCTTCCTTCCCTGCCCCCTCCCCATCAGATAAAACGAGAGTTACTTGATGGTTATCTGCATTCAGGATCTTGTGCAGCAAAAAGCTTAATAAAAAAGCCTATCTGAATGATAAAAAATTTTACTGGAATCTAAGTAATGTACGTACACTATGATTTTTGGTTCATACGATGCCTCTAACAGATACATGTCAAAGAATTAAAGTGTACCATAATTAAATAATGTTATAGAAGGTCACAGAAGATCACAGAATCTTCATGGCTGGAAGGAACCTTTGAGGTGGAAAGGAATGTAAGGAAATACACACGCGTGGTTTGTGTGAAGTATCTGTTTTAGCTCTGCCACATCCATTGCTGTTTCTACAGTTTCTTCCTTGTTTTTTCCAGAGGCCCTCATTCCACCTACTGGTCACACTACCCAAAGCATGCCTGAACTAACCAGATCAGAAATGAGTATTTTTGCATTTTGTAGCGTTAGTGTGGTATCATTAAAAATTGCATAACTGAACTAAGACTCTCTCTTCTTCCTGGAAGAGAAATCCAAGTACTACAGTAACTTTTCCCAGGCAGCTGCTCTAAGGAGCCTTGGTTCACATCCAGAAATATGGTGGCTGAGGTGACTGCTGTTCAAGCAGGGAAAATATCCTGAAAGTGTAAGCAGATTGGAGATTCTCCCTGTTACAAAAGAGATTTGATGACATTTAAATGCCTAAAAGGGCCATTGATACTTTACTGTAATTAATATTTCATTTAAAGACGATTTGAAACATTTCTTTAACCTGCTTGAATGTGGCAAAATATTAGCGACAACGGACCGAAGGTTTCCATCAGGTATTGTTTAAATACTGATAGACTGCAAAGAAAGAGGCTGGTGCAAGATTATTGAGGGTATTTGAGACTGAAACAAGACAGAGTAATATCCAGGAGCTGTAAGAAAGCCAGGTAAGTGGGCAGCAAGTTAAATCTTTTGAAATATGGTGCAAGTCATATCACCGATGACCAATACTAACACTGTTAGGTTCTAAATTAAGGGTAACCACTCAAGGCAGAGAGTATGAGAAGAAAAACATCAAAACCACAGCTTTGTGTAAAAGTGCAGTAAGATGGATCAGAAACAGAATGGCAAGCAACACTGGAAGTATAATGCCATTGTGTAAATCAGTATTTTGTCTTCACCTGAATTAGAATGGAATGTACTGTCACCCTATTTTAAAGTATAATTGCAAAAATTATATTTTGAACCTGTATCATTCTGTGGAAGAGAGCGAGTGTGAACACAAGCTGTGGTACAAGGGGCACAAGAAACACCTTCAAATGAAGGAGATTAAAAGGCCAGGATGTTTTAATAGGAGTTCAGTGGTGAAGAGCAGAAGGGGGTGTAAGAATATGCTGTATTCTTTTTAGAGGGAATATGGAACAGTCTTTATACTTCTATATAATCAAGATAATTTAATAATATTTCAGTGTGGAAAACTGAAAGCCAATAACGGATACCTACATGACATGTAACTTCTAGAACTCATTCTGAAATTTTGGTGAGGTTGAGAAGGGAGTAGAAGCTGTGATAAACCCACTCATTCATACAGATAACAAAAGTATGAATATCTATGTAGGTGTGAAAAATAGGAGTTTTGTGCTTCAGGACACTTAAATCAACTGCTGACTGCCTGGAATTGAGAAGAAAACTTCTGAGGGTTACCCAATTGTCTGTTAGACTTCTAGGTACAACTTGTATTCCTAGTTCCTCTAAATTCATATCTTTTTGAAGCAGTTTCCTTGTAATGCCTCAACAATTTAATTATGTAAACTTTTATGTCTTTGATCATTATTTTACTCAGTAATGAAATGTAGCCTTTACCCAGGTCCTGGATTCCTGCTGGATTGTAGAGGCTTTAAGTCACCTTTGTGATCTGATAAGACTTACATCCTGATATGACTTGTGGCTTTCATGTGTTACCTGGTTACTGCTTTTGCCACCTAAATCTAAAATTGCTGTAGTTAAATTTTCCAGGGCATATTTGTAGGACCTAGAAAAATGTTCAGGCCCTCTCAGAGTTGTCTTTCTGTTCTGTCCCATGCTCCAAGTTCAGGCTCCTTTTCTCTCACCCATGTCCCCAGTAGCCCCTTTCCCACAGCACCCAGGAGATTCATGTGCTGAGGAATCCTTTCTGGGCTGGAAGATTTGTATGTCCTTTGTTTAATCTGATTTAAAAAGGAATAGGATGAGGGTCTTACTCCAGCAAAGCAGGACAAGATATGGAAAGTATGGAACAGGAATAAATGAGTCATTAATTTGAAATTGCAGTGGAAATGTCAGTTACCAAAGTGCATATATCAGGTTGTTGGTGTTTTTTTAATTATTTTTTATTTCTAACTTGGATTAAGTACTCTGTGTTCTTTAATGAATATAAACCCCAGACCTTCACCTTATATTTCATTCATGGTATTGAAACCGTGTAATATGCTTACCTGTTATACTTTTTCTAACATTAATAAATGAGAGGTAAATTAAAGAGATTACAGAATAATCTTGTACAATAAAGCTTCCAATGAAGAAATACTGCATGAAATTGAGTGATGGTTATGAGTGACATGAAGACAAATGATAGATCTTCGGTTTCACGGATGGAATGAGGCTCAAGTTGGTAGAAAAGGCTGGTTGTTGGGGAAGTGGATGAGTCAGTCCTTTGCTTGCTATGGTTACAGAATTAGAGATAAGTAAATTTGCTCCCCAAACTCAAAGACCCAGGATTGTACCAAATGAAAAATGAAGAAATCTCTTAGCTTGTCTTTCTGTGGGATTCGCTTTGTTTCCAAGTTAAACTGTACAGTTAAACTGTAGGAAAAAAAAGTGTCTGTTTCACTGCATTGAGACAGCCTTTCTTTAACCCTTGACAAAATTTTGAAAGGGACTGGAAAAAGTGGGTTTGCCCAAAATGTCCCTATCTTCTTTGCATGGCACATGTTAATACAGTGAAATCAGCTGTGCACTACTTGCATTCTCCTCTTTAGAGGTGGCTGGTCTTGTGTTGTCAGCCAGTAGATTTCTGAGTTGGAATCAAGTTGTTACTAGAGCTGAAGCCCTTTATGTGCAGAGTTTGGTTTTTTATTCTGTATATTAGCAGGGCAGTGAAATCCCAGTTTCTCAGAGCTGCGATTCAGCATCTAATCCAGAGGGTGAACTGTGTCCCAGATAACCCCTCTTAATATTTCAGAATTGCAGACTAGTTCTTCAGAAATCTTCTCTGCACAATTCCTTTAACATCATTAAATAACTCCTTTTATATCATTAGACATATTGAAATCGTAAGCCAGAGACAAAATTTTGGATTTAAGGGACTCACTTGGGGTTTTTTTTTATTAACACTTATTCAGAAAATCATTAGAAATAACTATCTTTTGATAGAATTAAAATCTAAAAATAGTTGCTTATAGTACACGTCTTAAATTTTCAATACAATAGAAAAAATAATAGTAGCTTTTGACTGCTTTAAAAAACCCCAGGTGTTCATGCCAGAATTACTGAATCTCTGGAAACCACATACTTTTTGTTTATGAAAACTGGGGGGCTACTGTTTGAAGGACTTCTTATTCTTTCAAGTGAAACTAGTGTGAATTTGCAGAAGGGAAGTTTACAACTGTTGGAGGTTTAGATGGACAGAGGTAGTTCCTTATCTTTAGCCAATATTCACTTAGATTCTTTGTGTTCTGCTGTGTTTTAGCCATCTGAGGAAACACCTTTGAAGACCAGAAAGGAAAATTTAAAGTCTTACTCACCGACAACAGGAACATGCCAAATGAGTCCGTTTTCATCTCCCGTGAGTCATAATGCACAAAATCTCAGAAATCACTCATCAAATGGTTAGTTGAACGTTCTGTCTTTCTTACTGCAACGTTTTTCTGGTTATTGGCTTGATTTAGCAACTTATGTCTCATGTGGTATGTTTGATTTCTTTTTCCTCTTAAAGAATTTTAACGTCTCCTGGAAAAGTTGATGTTGACTTTTAAAGCTTGAATCTTTTCAGTATAAATCTTGGGGGTGTTCATGAAACTACTTGTTTGTGAAACAAATTTTGCTTTCTGTTGATCAATATTAAAAATATTTGCCTTGCTCAGTGAAAAAAAACCCTGTGGCATTTTTATCAATCATTCCATTAATTTTTAAATTAATTTAACATAACACTGAATGTCATTTGCTCTCAGAAAATATGCCTTTTTATAATTATATTATTTCCAGTTCACTTTAAGATATATGTCCACAGTCACGGTTTTTGATGCAGACAAACTGTGACTGTTCAAGAAGTATGTTTTCAGTAGACTAACCTGTTTTTATAGCTATGTAGGTTGTGGTCTTCTTATGTGTTAAGGTACCATTAGGTCATCTGATGTGACTTTTTTGTATTAAAAAAAAATATATACAAAGAGACTTTCTTGTCAGCTTTCCCATACAGAGCCCGAGACCTTTTATTTCCTTGCAGTACAAATCCTAGAAAGATGGTTGTCTTGAAGATTCAAATGATTTAAAAAATAATAATAATAATAATAATAATCCATCACTTCCCTTGTTAGCAAGTTCCTTGTTCAATTACCTTTGCTATTACGTTAAAAAAAAATTCTCCTGTCTGATTTTAAATTTGTCTGGCTTTAATTTTCAGCCATCAGTTCTTGTTATGCCTTTTTGTTGGGTTAAAGAGCTTTTTATGCCCCATATATTTTGGAATTTATGTGCAGTAATTGAGGCCTCACTAACATTCATGAATTATGATGAGTAGAAATATTCTGAGCAGGATAGAATAACCACTGTTTGAAATTTATCTAGATGTCTGCAGATTTTTGCACTAGCTATTGCACCACGTGTTCTCATGTTGGATCTGCAAAAGTGGATTTTTTTCCTCCAGGAAGAAAGGGATTTTATTTTTTTAAAAAGAATGTGATCAAGAAATTTTGGGAAGAAAATTGGAAGTATCAGGCATTTTGATGTACTAAAAAAAAAAAAAGGAAACTAAAGAAACTAACCAGCAGTGGTTATATCCTATTTCTTTGTCATGCTGCCAGTCTTCATTATGACCTTGTGTCCTTGTTACCTGTTTGTTAAATGGTTTTAACCCAGTTGAGTTTTTCACAAGTTCTCGCTGCCAGTCAGAATATTCAGTTTTCCTACCAAGTTCTCTGCTTTGTTTTTGGATTGGGCATTTGACCCTGGAACTACTACAAAAGTGACTCTTTCAACCATTGACATTCCAAGAAGCCTTAATTAAACTAATTTCTTCCCATTCTTTCAGTGAGTGATAGCATGTCTCAACTAGTTGTGCAAACCTGGTTAATTGAAAGGACCTGTATTTTAGGACACCCTTGCCTTCACAAAATTTAAGATATATACAGTTGATGTGTGTTTAATTTTGTGGCCTTTTGAGAACTACGTTGATATTTGCAATGAAAGGCTGGGTTTACATACTTCCCAGTTTGGGATGGAGGGAGTAAACCTCTGTCTACCAGAAAATAAGGATCTTTGCCACAAAGCATACCCTGTCTTGTGGACAATTCCTCTCCTCAAAACTAATGGCTTCTTCTTCATTCCTAAAAAGATGACTATTCGGCACAGTGAGTATCTCCACACTCCCACTTACTTCACATCTAGAAATCTTCAGTGACATTTAATCAACCATTTAAAGTATTAACCCCTGCATTCTTAAAAGATTATAAACAGTTTCTCTTCGGGATTATTTTCCTCTTCATCAAAGTTGCTTAAAACATCATCCTAAGTATTCCCACAAACACGCCTGGTTTTGAGTTGAATTTTCTCCTTGGAGTTTAAACCAAGGTAGGTAGCAATCTAGCACCACTGATTTCCAACTTTCTTCTTGCTGTGAAAAGTAACTCTTCCAGTGTGCAGCATTCTGACTTAGTTTGTTAGGAAATAAATTTACATGTCAAAGACATATATCTGCTCTATTTTTCTCCAGAGAGAAAGGTATTTTCAAAGTGTTCCCAGGTCAGATTTCTGTGGCAGTTTCTCTTTCAGCAGTAAGAAGGAAATTTTGTGTTTGTGTGTATTAACTCCTACACCACTCACAGGATTTGATGGTACTTCCTGGGTAAATGGAAAAGTGTGTCTTTATTTCTTTTCCTTGTGGTAAATGTAAATCTCTTCAAAGAAACTTCTCAGTGAGAAGAGTTGCCAATAGCTGTTCTCCGTCAGATCAGAGATTTTAAATGCAGATTTTAATTTTGTGGCTGTCTGTAGAATATGAAACTATGCCTCAACCTGGCTGGATATCCACCTGCACTTTAACACTTACCTTTGCAAAAAACTTTTAAAATTATATGTATTTTATTTATTAAAAAAAAATACGATGATAGCAGTCAGATGCAAAATTAAAAATGCTATGGCTCTTTACATATGTTGTCTTGAATATCCCTATATTTTGTAATTACCTGTTTTAATGACCTCTTTCCTTTAGCTTTCGTTGATGCTTTTTGGTGACACAACACATAAGCACAAACATTTAAATCAACTGATTTAAAGTTTTAAAACTTCCAGCATCTCTGCGTTTGCATTACGTGCCTTATCTCTGAGGTGGAAGGAAAAAGGGGGCAAAACATCTTGCATTAAAATGCCTGTATGTTAGGATGTCGATGGGAAAGGTGAATGTGTACTATACACCCATACTGATATTAAGTGTGGCCATAGGGGAACGTTCTTTTTGCCTATAAAAAGGCAGATCACGTGATCATTGCTGACATTTAGATGGATAATTATTCTGTAATGTAGTACTAGCCATCTTTTTTTTTTTTTTCCCTGTGTTCATCTAGGTACAAGATGATGATGTATAAGACTTTCTCTTGTATCACAGGTTTCAGGTTGTCCTTTTAATGCCACAATTTCTTTTTTCCTTCTAAGACACTTTTATTTTAAGTGTTGCAGTGTTTAATAGATTACACACACCACCTATGAGGTATCAGAGTATAATCTATATTCTATATTTCCGTGACCAATATGTAAGAAAACAACAGCATGAAAATTACTACACCCAGCCTACAGCGACAGAAAGGCAGGCCACCAGTTTACCAACACCACGTGTGAGCCTGGTTTTCATTAACAAACCCATGGAATGGACTTTTGTGGTAATATCCTATTCCTGTTTCCCCACAGAAACATGCAACTGCTCAAAATATCCGTGCACTGAAACGTAGAAATATGATGACTCGCCACGCAGAATAATGGCAACTGGCATATGATTTATCATACGACGAGCTAGAATATTATATTGTCAATATAGCATGTCAGAGCCTTTGGAAGTAATTTGCAGTATCTCTTCGTAGTTGTTTACAAGATGGAATTGGGGGCTAGGCATTTTTTTTATTGAAGGATTCATTGCTCAGTCATTATAGTATTTTCATGATAATGCTTTGTGGTAAAATGCTGTATTTAAGCAGTGAAGAGGATAAAAAGCTTCTGAGTAGAACACAGTGACTACGTGTCAGAATTATACTAACTTCCAGTTATTATTCCAATTATTATTATATAATCCCAAGGTTTCCACAAATAAAGATGTAATGTGAATTGATGAGAGGTGAAATTACACAAGCATAAATTATAGTGAACTTGGAGTGTTTCATTACAAGAGAATCTGTCCTGCTTCGTGAGGGACTTCTGGTTTTTTTTCCTCTTCCTAAAAGATCATTGAACAGTGAAGGTTCACACTAGCCCCTTTTTCATGTGTTTCAAATGCTCGGTATCTTATTTTCATCTTCATTGTTTCTTTTCTTTCTTGTGAACCTCCTAGAAGATGCAGCTGAGGAGAAGGATTCAGAAAGCATATTATCCAGAAGAGGGCAGCCTCAAACAGAGGAGGATGCGTAAGTGCATTTAGCGCCCTGTGGGCGCAGCGCCGTGATTTTTACTTGTGAAAGAGTAACATTTCATATAGACTTCAATTAATAGCGATTATTTTTAATACTTCTGATTCCACAAGATTGGATAGTCAAAGGCACTGAATGGCAAGTTTACAGGTATAGGTACAGATTTCCACACTGGTAGTGCGGGGCATACGACACTGCCAATTACAGGAGTCACGACACACAATGAGTTATCCTAATTAAACTACTGAAAGGAAGGGATATTTTGCCTTTATTAAAAACTAGCCGCAGATGGTCATGGTGAAACTTCATGTTTGCTTTGCAAAGTCTTTTGAAATTCTTGTCTTTTCTGGCACACTCTTATTTTAAGCTCTAAGTTTCCTGACATGAATGGTCTTTGGGCAGTCAGCAGTTAGTAAAGCACTTAAATAAATGTTTCAGGTGAAGTCTTATAAACTGCTTTCTTAAACTTGATAGATGTGAGGGAGGAGAACTGATAAAAATGCATTAGATAAAAATAGATAGAAATAGATAAAAATAGATAAAAATGCCTTAGGCTGGTAGTGTCTCATTTTGTTAGTATTGCTTTATCCTTTGTTATGAAAAATTTATTTAATTGTTTATAGCATTGCCAAACCTCAGCTGAAAAGTGAACCGAAATTTTCTGTGCAAACGGTGAGATGTCAGGCTAAATATGTATTTCAGCCAAAACAACCACATCATCCCTAAGAGTTAGAGAAAGAAGATATTTGCTTCATCTCTGATAGAACTTGGTGAAAAAGTGGAAAGCTGTGAATCTCTGTAAGTTGGATTGTATCGGGGATGCTTCTCATCTCTATGGGAAGTTGCCCAGTTCAGAAGTCCTGGAAGTTAGGAGTTTTTTTTAATATGGAAGCTGTATATGCTCAGTAACACTACTTCAAGTTTAAGCTTTAGTCTAGCTAAAAATCTGTAAGTTTCCTTCTTCAATGAGCGTGTTCATACTTCTTGCTGCTAATACAATATTATCCTAGATAATCCCATCCATTTCCATCCCTTTTACTCAGCTGAAACTGCATTCACCAGAGACTCTTGTGATCTCTTATTAGCAATTTAAAAAAAAAATAAAATCCTTTATTCTTCTTCAACACCATCTACGTTTTTGTTCTGGAAATCTTATTATCCTGTTGTGTTGTTCTGCCTTTTTAGTTGGTGGGTCAACTTCTCCTCTGGTGGAGTCTTGACATACAGCTTTGATGTCTATCTGAGAAAGTCTAATCCACAGCTCAGCATCAACATGGCTATACCACGTCTCCTCTCCTCTACAACATTATACATGTATTTTTAATCATTCTGTGTAACGTGACTGTCCAGTATTTCATTCAGACCTGGTGCCTGCGCATCCAAATCAAATTTTTATGTAAATTCTCCTGTCTGGAGGTCTGGCACACTTCAAAAATCTGCAGTGTGTTTCCTATAACCCCAGTTTATCACCAAGAGCTCACCTGTTGGTGTAGTGCAAATCTCTGCTGCCCTCATACTCCTTTGTTGGCCAGGTTTTTTTTCTTGTAATGGATGCCTTCAGTTATACCAGTGGAAAGCTGTAAACTGATTAATTAGAGAGGTTTTGTGGTTCAGTAAATCCCTTGGTCAAGACATATAGGCTCGTTTCTTAGTGGTAATAACCTTGAATTGCAGAACAATTTGAGTAATCATAGTCTTCATTGACATGTAAATGTTTGCATTCAATAATTCAGTATGTTTTAAAAAAAAAATTGCCAGATTTGCAGAAGACTAGCAGTTAGTGACATGCCAGTAAAACACATTTATAAACTAACACCTACACAGTAATATTTATGTGAATTTCCATACACTTAATTTTTACCGGTGGAAAATATATTGTACAATACACTGACAGTAGCATTTTCTTTTCTGCATAGCCTTCTGCTCACATGTTGAAATACAACAGTGATAAGTTTTTCTCATATTGTTTCTAAATTTGGGGGTTCCTATTAGGGTGATTCTCCTTTCTGTGGGAGGAAGCAGTAAATAGATTATTTCTCTGTTGTCTCCATTTGATTTGCATGTTTAAATGTTTCAAAGAGAAAATAGCCTAAACATCCATTGCAGGAATTTTTTCAATACACATTCAGTGCAAATCCGTAATCATGCATTAAAATCTGCCACTTAGATCTAATCTGATTGTATATTATTTTAATTTTTATTGCAAAACCCATTTAACTCTGAAAGCTGGTAATAAAATATATTTGTGGCTTAAAAGGGGAGACAGTACAACAAAGCTGAACAAATACCATGCAATGTTGTCCCTGTTGGGCTTAACCCATTCCCAAATAAGTTAAATTCCTGGTTTTACGGTTGTTTTCCTGCACCATCATAAGAAAATCCTCTGATACTGCTAAACCTGAGTTCCTACCCTTAAAATTAGGATTTTATTTTTGGCAGTTCACATGTAAATCCTAGCTAAAGGTAAGATATATTTGGTGTTACACGACACAGTGTGGTTGCACAACCCATCCTTTCACAGCTTATTGAGATCCATCCCGATTACAATGTGCAGAAACTCTGGGAAACCTTGTCAACACAGCTTTTCACTGAGTAGTGACCTGGCTGATTGAAATTGTTTCATTTTAACTTTTTATGCAGGTTCATGGAATTGCACTCCAAAGTGAAAAGTTCATTGGTCAGAATTCTGAAAATAAGAGCAAATCTGACAAGCCTACAGGTCTGGTTTACACTGATTATTTTTTTTTTCAATGTACTCTTAATACAGGGTTTGAAATAAAAATGCTAATCTTGTATGCAGCCTTTGAGTTTTAAGAAATAGGGAAGCAAATTAAATTCTTGAAACTGGGCAGGTTTACTTGGAAATCCAGAAAATGGAAAAAAAAAAATCCCAGAATTTAGAAGTTTGGGATTTTTTTAAACTACAGGAGTTACTTTTCCAAATACACCATTTTTAATTTGTATCACTCCTCATTTTGTACATGAATAAAAAGCATATGAAGTAGTTCTGAACTATTATTTATAACTTGAAGTATGAATTACTACTGCAGATTTTTATGTTCTTGAAGATTAAATATCCCTTTTTGTTGAAGTCGTACTATTTAATTTACCACTAATGCAATTTATAACTTGAAGTATGAATTACTACTGCAGATTTTTATGTTCTTGAAGATTAAATATCCCTTTTTGTTGAAGTCGTACTATTTAATTTACCACTAATGCATCATCCTTTAATAGTCTGTTTAATACATGCTAAAATGCAAATCACTTTTCTCGTTTATTCACATTTTGTTTCCTGAATAAATTTAGCACAAGGTTGGCTGCTGTATATCAATATCTGAGAAATAATTCCGTGTTCTCAAAGTATTGTATTGATTTATTTTACTTGTCTAAGTGCTCTGACAATGTTTTAGTTACAAAAAAGACTGATACTAATTTAAAATATTTTAATTGAAATGATGATTTAGAAAACTCTATTAAAAAATCCGTTCTATTTCTCCTGAGAATGATAGTGTATGTTTTTAGATCTGCCATGAAATGCTGAGGAGTGTGTTCAATAGAACCTTAAATGCTTGTAGATTTCCATTTTACTAACATATTATAGCCGGCTTGTACATGTGCCAAGATTGCTTTTCTGGGGATCAAGTGTTAATCTGTTTAAACAGCTGAAGACTTACCAATGAAGCGTAAATAACGAGAGATTTTTAAGTAACACTTTCAAAGGCACCTGAATGCCGTTTGCAAAAGCAGCGTTTGTTTTTACCCCCTGAAACTTCTCAGTCCCTTGGACTTTTTGTGAGCTGGAGTCTCACGCCATCACATACCGCTTATGAAAAATTGCCAAAAGTTCACCCTTTCAGATGTTTTTAATAACTTCTAGACTCCGAAGTAAGTAGTTTGGAAGGCGATTTAACAATGTCTTTAATTATGTTTTTTTTCCAGGCTTTAGAGGGCAGTAAAGAGCTTGAAAATATTCCTGGTGTCTCTGACTCGTCTTGCGACTTGAGGGCTGAACTGCAGAAAACCCAAGAGCTAAGTAAGGCGGATTTTCAATATTATTTATCCCCTTTATAACAATTTAACAACGATACCTACACACGTTTCCTAGAGTCATACCCCACTCTGTCATAGCCCAGGACTCCAACCTATGAGTTCTTTTGGTCGGGACAAATGCACCTTAAATATCCTTGTGTATCCAACCAGGGGCATAAAAGAAATGCAGCCCCAACAGCCGCTCTTCTAACTCGCAGTCACAGATGGGGAAGGAAAACCTGCAAGAGCAACACCTTTTCTTATGTAAATAGTTAGATACTTAGTGGGTAGTTAGCTAGTGATTAGGCTAAACGTTTGCACTTTGATTGCATTGCCTTTCTTCTCTTCTTGCAAGGAAGTTGTTTTGTTTGTTTGCCTGTTAGGAGGATTAGGCCAAACATAGGTTTCCAGGCTTTAAAAATTGCTATTCATGTGTCTTTAAATGATGGGCATAGCAGATGCTTATTGTGTTGGGATAAGGGCACTTTACAGATGGCACATCTGTAATACTTCTCCAAAACAACCCAGAAAGCCAAAAATTTTCATTTATACCTGCCCAAGTTGGAGGTTCTTGGGGCATGTGAATCCTCAGCAGCAAAAATGTATTGATGCTTCTGTTCCCAACTGCCTCTGCAACTAGAAGCAGAATATGTGATGGGGAAATATTTTAATGCAAAAAAAACTTGGTTCAGGAATAATTGCAGAAAAAAAAAAGCTATTTGCTTTCAGGGAGAGGAAATAAAGATCTTCCTTACCAGGGCATTCCTTTAAGAGTTAAAACTGATGAAAGGTAACTGTGGGTACCAAAGGGGACACAATCTGTATGCTTCAGAAGAGTTCATTCACTTGCTTTCATTTATCTGTGCCCAGACGGCATGTTTGTAGTACAGATGTGTGTTTAAGACTGTATTTACCACTACTTCTCCTCAAAGTTTTGCATCTATAACGTTGTTCCTGTAGGCTTTTCATACCACCCTCTGATAATCTAGTTTCCAGCTGACCAGGGAATGTGAATAATACATGCATATACATAGTCCCTCTGTCCGGTCTCTGGAGAAGCATCCAAAGGTGATAAAAAAGATTCTTAACCTGCAGTAAATGCGGTGTTTTCCCTCTATACATTATTCCACAACCTGTGTGGTTGCTTTATTTTCTGCAGAGTGTGAAAACCCTGGAACCAGCTGTAGGAAAGCAAAACGTAGGGTGACTGGGACTGTTACTTTCTTTGCAGTTGGAGATGGGTGGAAGGTAAAGCCACGGGTGCTGGAGAATCTTTCTGACCAAAGAGCACTGAGACTCTTCTCAGGTGGATGTGCCCCAGCAGTGGAATTTATGCACCACAGAGTTCCAGCAGCCACTGTTGTTTAAATTACCCTTTCTTTCCTGACTTGTATTCCAACATTCATTCCATTTCCATTTTGTGTGTGTGTGCACTGTACTGGTTCCCACTGTAATGCATGTAACCAGCTGCTTGCTTATAAATGAAGTTTCTATAAGTGAAGTTTCCTGAAAACAGTCTGTGTTTACATTACTACCCTACACTGTGGACAGGGCAGTAAAACTGTGTATCCGGGAGAAGGCTGTAAATGAGATTTCAGACCTATTGTTGACACTTTCCATCATGTCCACTCTTTGTCAGCTTCTTGTTGCCTTCAAAATGGGAATCATCTTTTTCCCTCCATCTCTGAATTAGGAACAAAGCACCACGTCGGCAAAAATGGGAACAAGATGTGGTATGAGGCTCATGAGCACAACTTGACAAAATTCTGTTTGTTTTGAAAATGTTTTGTTAATTTTTTAACAGTATGTAGATAAGGAGGGGGTTTTGTCATCACTTGAAGAAAAATGAAAATGCTTTGAAAGTGAAAAAGGCAGAATAGGTATTATTGTCTTTGAAATCTCTGGGGCAACATTTTATTGATTTCACGTTTATTTATTTGACTAGTGAGTCAAGCAGAAGAACTGCAGCTGTTGAAAAGAAATGATGGAAAACTTCCTGCCCGAGGTAAGAAACTTTTTATAACTCCTGTGTAACAGATGTTTTGACGATTCCTTTTAGTTGGTCCCTTCTTGAAATCAGTTGGATTACCTTTAGTACATGAAAATGATGATAATCAAATAGAAGTGTTAAGTTTAACTTTTTTCAGCTGCTTTCATTGTATTGGGTGTTTCTCCAGCAAAGCGTGCAAGGAGAAATCACTAATGGTCTTGCACTCCAGGCATGGTCTAGAAATAAGTGCAGTCAGGTGCACACACCTTTTACATAGGTCAGTGTTCCTTCTTCTTCCTCACTCTCTTCCCTCCCCCTGTGTTTTCAGAGTATAAACCAAGTAGCATATACAGCCTTTGCAGCAAAACCTTTTTCACCTTATATGTATTGTGAGGTGTTTAGCACACTCCAGGGGACTCTGAAATCCCCACTAGGTTTCTTCATAACTAGTGCTGTGAAAATATTTGAAGTTGGTGGCATTTAATATAGTGTGACCCACTTTAGTGCCTCCCCTAGCTGGGAAGGTGGTGGTGGGGGATACACACAAGATTTATATTTTTCTCTCACCCCCAGTAAAATCAACAAACATTCACCACTGATATTCTGATATTTCTGTTATCTTCATGCATTCTGTCTTGAAGTAGAGGAAAACTGGAATCAAAATGGGTGATGGCATCTCTACTGGTCTTCCACGGGCCTAAATTAGAATCATAGAATCACAGAATGGTTTGGGTTGGAAGGGACCTTAAAGTTCCACCCTCTCCTGCCCTGGGCAGGGACATCTCCCACCAGACCAGGTTCCTCAAAGCCCCATCCAGCCTGGTCTTGAACCCCTCCAGGGACAGGCAAAATCTTTCTGCTGTGGAGAATTCTCTTAAAGGAATGAAAATTGGTCTTTCCTCGTCTCCAGCAGGTTATCACAAAACGAAAAGGAGGGACGTCAGTTTTTAGGGAATTTGGTTCATTTGTGCAATCTGCTATTTCTGATTTACAGCTGGCTGTGTTCAGATGATCACAGCCCCTGTCTGGCTCTGGGAACGGTGAACCCCGTGGGCCGTTGCAGATTGAAACAGTCACTGCTTCCTTTGTGCACTGCTTTTTGCTGCTCACCAGTACATACGTGTATAGTTCCCTCTTTGCTCTAGAAACTAGCCCCTAATGCTAAACGTAGATGCAGACTTGTTAGATGAGAAATGAGACAATTTGTGAAAGGAGGAGGAAAATAGAATTATGAGTTTAAGTTGACCAATTTTGATGAAGTTTCAGTGTCAATTTTGCTTTAGTAAAGCATAAATTCAATTTTGCTCTCTTGAAAATACAGTAGTAGTACAGGCGAAGAAGTATGTGATAAAAGGGAGGCATTTGGAGATGTTTTACTTTGCCTTTTAGTGTTGGATGTGGTTTTTCGTAATTATTTTTAATTAGTTATGCTTATGACTGTTCTGTGGCTTGATGCAGACGGAATGTCACATTATCATCACATGGTGAGGCATGAAATTTATTTACTTTACATAAACAACCTCTACTTAAAACAACTTAATACAAAACATTCCTTGCTGAATGGGCAGCATTATGTAGGACTCAGTATATCATTTTGTGTGACCAGCATAAAAAATGGCATCTTTGTTTGTCCATGACTAGCATTTACAGTAAACAAAATGTTTTTGAGGAGAATGTAAGCAAACTGTAATGCAACTGCCAAGAGATGAAATCTAGTCAGTGGGTTGCAGTCCCAAAGATGCTTTATGTCTGAATAAATGTGTAGGTTGAGATATGCGTATTTCAAAGGACAATTCAATAGGTTCAGAGTTTCAAGGAGTGAAGATAAGACTCTAAATGGGAAAGGTACTGAAGCTGGTTATTACAAATTATACTAATATTTTACTTCCCAACAAGAAAAACACAGCACAAACCATATCTGTGACTCTGTAAGTAAGAAACAAGAGTGTGTTATAAAAGATCAAATACTTGCAGTGTTAAGAACTATTTTCAGACTGTATCTTGTAATGAAATTAGAAATACTGTCTTTTCTGTGTCGTCGCTCATCCTGCCAAATATGATCACCCCTAATTAAGTTTAGTTCTAAACATTCCTAACTTCCATACTGTTTTTAATGCAAATGACTGAAGTTTGCACTCTTTGCAGCAGCAGTGGTGGCTTTCCAAGAGACTAGGTCAGGGCTAACCAGATACATTTTCATTTCATGCCACTTGAAATTACTAATTTGCAAAGCTGGAGAGATCAGGGACTGAGTAATACTGAGTTCCCACTCACCATTTTTTCAAAACTATGTATAGATGATGAAATATAGATGCCTCCTTACGAAGCAGAGTTCCTTCTCAAAACAGATAAAATGGTCAGAATACAATATTCCTCTGTTTATCCTAATTCATCTCAGTTTGAGTTTGGGCTTTTTACTGGGTCTTTGTGTACAAGCAGCTGAAGACCTCGGGTCTGGGCTGCAGGTGGGTTGCTGTGAGCGAGGGTAAATCAGGTTTATAATCTGTTTCTACCTCATTCTCAAATAAAATAGAATACGTTTGTTGACCCTCAGACATACTTGAGTGTCTGTCTCCCATCTATTCTTCCTCTTCCTCCTCTTTTGGGATTTCTGGGGGAAAAGGGAATGTGTCAGACTTCAGATGTATATTCTTCAGGAGCATTATCTGTGGATTTTTCTGACTGAAAAAACACTTACCTAAAAAACGGGGTTTTCTCAGCCCAACTTTGGATCCACTTGCTGGGAAAAAACATCATTATACTTCTTTTAGGAAAAGTAAGGCTCAGGAGCTGGCTAAGCAGGAAGTTATTAAGTGAGCTTAATGAATTCACAAGTAAATTTATTCTGAAACTGAGTTTCTTTCCAGGGCTTCCATTCCTTGAGAGCAAAGGGAACAGATCCCACCATTGCCTTTGCTTACAGCAAATACTTGTCAGGAGAGCGATGAGATGGATGCAGGGTTGGACCTAGGTGTTGGGAAAGGCCTTTTCATCCAACAGATGTGTAGGCCTCTCTCCCAAGAACGGCTCCATGAGCTGCCTGTAAGGGTGGACAATCTGCTCTTATTTGTGCAAGCCCCACTTCTAGGCATTTGTGATACTTTTCTGAGGTTCAGTTCTTGCTTGGTTTTAATCTGGTTGGAAAAAAGCTGCTGTTGCTGACACAAGCAGCCGTTCCTTAGTTCTACCAAGGTCCTTTCAGTTACATCCTAGGCTTCTTTCCAGCAAAGGTCCAACGAGATCTCTCCAGCAGCCTTTTTGTGGTGTACGTCATCTCTAAAAGCAAGAGGTGATGATGAAGGACAATTTTTTTCCAAATAGATTATTATTAGATGGAGACTTAGAGCTTGTGTTTACAAATGATACTTCAGTTCCTGCCCAGGGAGGTGGTGGAGTCGCCATCCCTGGAGGTATTTAAGAAACGTGTAGAGGTGGCACTTCAGGGCGTGCTCTAGTGCTTGAAATTGTTGGTTTCTCTCTGTTTGTGGTTGGTTTTGGTTTGCATTTTTTTGTGTGTGGTTGGACTCGATGATCTCAAAGGTGATCAAACCATGAAGACTTTGTAACTTTGTGATTCTTAACACTAAAGGCCAGGCTTGGCAGTTTTGGTCCAATTAATGTCCCGGTGCTTGGAAGAGAGACAATGGTCATTAGAGCTCTTAAGTCCTGCAGCCAACCCAGCCACGAGCTGCCCTCTTGGCCTGCTCAGAAAGGCTGTGAAGGCCTTGTTCATCTGCTCTTCTGTGGTGGGAGATCTCTCTCTATTTCTGCTCACAGGGACTTTTCTACAAGTAGACGTGGGGAAGGGTTAATCTTAGTTATGTTTTTAGTTATACCTGGGTGTGAACTCCCGTAACAGGGCTGCGTGATGCGAAGGTGAATTCAGGCTGTTTCAGTGCTGAAGGGGAGGTGAGTTGCACCCACACACACTGTTTTGCTTATTTGTAAGTTATTTTGAATGTTCCAGTGCAGAGACCCAGCGAAATCCTCCTGTGCTGACACTCAGAACTATTTCTGCAATTGCCCCAAAGTGCAGCTGGAGGAGGAGCATGTTGCCTTCTCATTTGTATTTTGTGGATTAAAAGCTGTTGTTGCTCAGGCTCAATGTGACTGTACGTCTCCTCTCACCCTGTGCAGGTGAGTCTTTATACTTTGCAACCATGGAGAGTCCTTTACAGTCTAGAAGAGGTAACAAAACCCCCTTAGCCTGGTCCCCAAAACCTGCAATGCCAGGGATTTTCCTGGGACAAGCGAGTAACCTTGTCTTCTGGGAGGTGAAGGAGCCGTTGGATGGGATCCTGTTGGACCCCCCCAAACACCACCGCTGTGACTGTTGGATTGTGCCCACACCTGAAGAATTGCGTATTTTCAAACACAACCTGAGATTTGAGAAGTCTCTGGGTCTGAGGTCACTGACATGATAAGCTTTTTGGATGGAAGGAAGGGGGCAAATTGCAAACCTCTCCCATGATTTAACACCCTCTGCTATGTAGATGAAATATTAAGCTATTAACTTTTGTGGCAGATACAGAAATGCACATGAGACGTATGACTATAGGCCTCAGACGTATATACATATAGAACTGTCAACCTGCATTTTCTATTTAGGTGTCAGCCACCTTTATTCATGAATTTCACACCTGTGTTTATACTCTATTTTCCTACGTACCTTTTTACAGATGCAATAGCTATTAATTTTTAATTCTAGTGGATCTAGACTTCAGAGTATTAAGCTTAATGAAAAATTAAAAAGAATTGTAGTTCTTTCAACAGCTACATGTAGCGACTCCTACGTGAGAATAAATACTGCTTTCTCCCATGAATATAATTATTTTAAATAAAAAAGAAAAGAAACATTAGTTTGGACTCACTTAGTAGCAATTATATGTTTAAGAGGTGTAAATAACTTGCTATCCAGACATTACAAATATCCAGGTGCTCTGTATGTGCTGATGACAACAAAATTGAAAAGAAAGACTGTAATAATTCTGACTGGTTTTCTCTGCAGAAGATATTGATTATTTGTGTGTGGTGAGAGATTTGGAAAATTCAATTAAAGGAGTTGTGCAAAGGTTTCATAAATTTTCCTTGTACAGCGTGTACACAGACATTGTTGCGTATTAAATCAATGCAGCACTTCACAATATATTTTCTTTGAAACATAAAAATAAATAACATTTAAACAGTTCTGCTTACTACAGAAACAAATTTTATTTTCTGTGAAGCATTTAGTCATGTGCTATCACTGACTCATACACATTTGCCAGCTGTAACAAATTTTATAGACGTTTTCTCCAGAGACATAGCTCATATACTATGAATTTTTAAATGAGCAAATGGTGAAGAAGGGATGTCAGCAATATAAAAATTGATCAGTTAAAAGATAAAAGCATAAGTAAAGAGATTTGTATGGTAGTCTTAATAGGTTTTATTAAATAAAAATACTATAAAAAGACAGTAATGAATAGACTGAAGGTTTTAACTGTGGTTGAGGTGGAGAAAAATTATTCTGGCACATTTAGTAGAAGATTGGTTTTATATCACCTGACAGGTGAACATTTTTTTTCTCTCTGCTTTTGAGATCTGTAAATGTTTTAGAGCAGTCAAACTTGCAAAAGAATGGTGGTGGAAGTAGGAAGTAGGAAAAGAAACTTGGGAAGATTCTGCCCTTTTAATGCTTTTATGGGCTGGTGCCAGGAGACACCCCAGGGAAGGGCAGTGAGGTTTCCACCAGCCCAGCCCGGGCACCTTCCTGGTCCCCTCCACTGAGCCCTCCTTTCCTGGCTGCTCCACTCACAACACATTTTCATACAGAAGCTTTGGTAATGTTCTCCTTGGTTTTATGGAGTTTTGCTTCCTTAGGAGTTCTGCTTATAAATATATCAAGAGAGAGAAGGGTTGTTGGGGGTTTTTTTTGCTTGTTTTGTTGGAGTTTTTAAGAACAACTCATTAGCTTCAGTAGTTCATCATTGAAAAGAACAATCAAAACTCAAAAAAGCTTGAACTGCTACAACAAGCATTGTAAGTTTTTGGAGCATATGAATAGTAAATCATATTATTTGAATATCTGTAGAAATATTACTATAAATAGGTCTGGTTTGTCCAAATGTACAGTCACGGTGTGTGTTTGGGAAGAAAGCTGAGTTAAGGGTGTTTTATGTGAATCTGGGCAGCTTATGGTTTTTAAGACAGCTTCTCGGAGTGAAGGGCAGACCTTGGCACAGGAGCTTTGGCTGGTTGGGTTCTTCAGGTGCTGCACAGTCAGAATGCTGCCTCGGTGAGGAAAAGGTGCATAAAGACTGGATTTGGAAGCTGCATTTAGCACAAAGAAACCAAAGAGCAGCAACTTGTCATTAAATATCGGTCTCTTTCTGTTACTTGTCATAGGAGACTGGTCAGTTTCCTATTTTAAGCAATAATAGTAGGTTTTTGATGATAATCTGTGTAAACTGGTGTTTATTAGTTATAATGCTGAAATGTTATACCTGAGGCAAAGTTGAATTGGATGCCTTTTTTATGGAGTAGCCTCATTAAGACCTAGTTTAGGAGAGAATTTCTGGCTTGGTCTGGGTCAGCTCCAGGTAAGGTCATTGGCACCTCCTGTGCAGGTCTCACAGGTCACATCACCTACAGGAGCATGGGACACGCAAGGAATCACAGCATTCCAAGTGAGAACCACCAAGGAATTGAGGAGAATCTTCACCACCACCCAGGTCTTTGGTGGCTTTGATGCCTCTCTTCGTATGGGTTTATGTGAAGCCCCTTTCCTCAGAGTAGAGTCTTTTAGCTATAAGCTGCTGCAAATATCTGTTTGGTCTCAGGATGTTTTATAAAGCAAATAATTGCTTTATAGACGAGGCCAGGCTGAGAGTTGGGAGGGGTTCAGCCTGGAGAAGAGAAGGCTCCGGGGAGACCCTCCAGTCCCTAAAGAAAGGGGGTTCCAGGAAAGCTGGGGAGGGACTCTGGATGAGGGAGGGGAGCCCTAGGAGGAGGGGGAAGGGTTGGACACTGAAAGAGGGGAGATGGAGCTGAGCTGTGGGGAAGAACTTGTTTGGTGGGAGGGTGGTGAGAGCCTGGCCCAGGTTGGCCAGAGAAGCTGTGGCTGCCCCATCCCTGGAGGGGTTCAAGGGCAGGTTGGAGGGGGCTTGGAGCAACCTGGTGTGGTGGGAGGTGTCCCTGCCCAGGGCAGGGGGCTGGAACTTGATGAACTTTAAGGTCCCGTTCTGTGATTCTATGATAATTCTGAATTCTGGCTTCACCCTTCTGTGGTGGTGGGATCAAAATGCAGTATGAACCATCAGCAGACACTAAGGGTACAGAGACCAGAGCTGAGCATCTGCTGCAGGAAGCCATTTGGAAATCTCAGCACTTGGATGCACCTGCTTCCAGACCCTTCCCCTCTATGTTCTCATTCCCGGAGTTCCTTTCTACTCTTGCTCACTTTTCCTCTGCTTCTTCCAACCATCTGCTCAGCCCTTCCCCTGCCCTGTGCTCCTTGAGGACGGGGCTCAGGTGTGGTTGCCTCTCCTTTTGCCATACAGTAGCTGCATGAAGTAAAAGGGGTTCTGTTAACCACTGCAGTAACTTATTTAACTCGGATTTGGGAGGGGATTTTCATAAATAGCATAAACACCATTGTTTTGTTTGTCAAAACCACTTTTCCTGCCCCGCAGTGTACATCCAGACTGGTGGGAGTGCTGCCTTCCTGATGTCGCTCCTTGACTGAGGTAAGTGGCCCCTCTCTCTGCTGCCCAACTTCTGCAGCCCCCACGGACAGGCAGAATGATTGTAAGCACCAAGATACTTAATTTTAAAACATTTGCATACAACATATGTAGGCCTGTGGTCAAGACCTGATGGGAAAACAGTTGCTACTTTGCATGTGATATTCCTTGTTACTGGTTAAGCCAAACGACGTATTGACTCTGTAGACACTTGTCCCACTCCCAAACATCCAACAGCGTTTCTCCTCATCAGAGTTTTTCCAGGAGAGGAAACAGACACCTCCAGACATATTTAATGGGGGTTTTAATTCTTCCTCCTTTGGCTACTGGTCTCTGTTGCACTGTTGTAAGCAAAAGCCCAGTTAGAGACTGACCTCCAACTTGCGCATGAGAAACTGGTTGCTCATCATCTTTCACAAAGCCTAGGTGAGACAAAGAAGTCTCTAGAGTCAGCAGATTGTATCGATCCCCTGCGTGGTGTGAGAACACCTCTCCTTTGGAAAGGTAAAGGAATATAATCTTGTAATTGAGGAATATGGAAAAGCAGATGTGCAGGTTTTACAAGCTGTGTAACTGAGCTCAGACACCTGCATTTGGCTTCTCAGTGAGGGTTAATTTTTATTTTGTAACCACAAGTAACCCAGTAGCAAAAAAAAGCTTTCAAGCCCTGCTTGTCCACAAGCCAAGGTTACCCTGATACTTCTTAGCTGCTTGGGCCAGAGATCCCTCCTGCTCCTAACTCCTTCCAAACCAGCTGCTGCACCAAAGGCTGGGAACCAGTGCAGGGAGCAGAGTGTCCTGTTTAGTGACTTATTTTCCCCATTCAGCACAATTTGAGTCCTACAGAAGGCAGAGCATGTCGGGTCTGTGGTACAACAACCAGGTTAAGTGTCACACTGGGTCACTGGCTTCAGCTACACCCACACCGACTGCAAACAGCTACAAGGGCTGCAGCTCAGGGTTAGCTCAGAGCACACGCCTGGCTCTGCCACCAGACAGTGGCAGCTGGTCCCTGACCATTGTGTTTACACCTGATGGCCAGAAAAAGCCACACTTACCTTTTTCTGGGTCTCTCCATCCCTTCCCAGGTGTGACCAACACCGGAAAGCCCTTGGCTTTCTTATTGTTTAAAAAATACGTAGTTGTGATAGCTAAATGATCTTTTAGCAATTATTGCTCAGCTTTTTCTACAGATAAAACCTACAGCATTTCCTTAAAACATCTCACAGCTGAAGGGAGGCCGCCTGTTCCTCCGCATCGCCTCAGGCTGTGTCTGGCTGTGCTTTTTTAACACCACGAGGACAGTACAGGACACAGGACAGACAGACAATTCTGACCAGCTCACATGAGCGATGACGCTGTTGTCTAATTGCTATTTACTCATGTCATTCCTTATGTCCACACAGGCATTATGTGGAAAATGCATTCCACATCTACCCAGAGTTCTACATCTGCTTGAGTGGACTTAAAAGGAGAGAAGAAATGACTGTAAACCTATCTCCCCAGCAAATACCAGTTCGGGATGGCTCGTTGCGCTGGGCAGGTGCACATCTAGATAAAATTTCTGGCATCTATTTAAACTTAACAATGTGCACAAGCAGATAATCTCAAGGCAAATAATACAGCGTGGGGGCTTTAGGCAAGCGCGTGGACAAACTGCTGATTTAGGTTTGCTGCTGCAGGGAAAATAATCTGCATTTTCTGGACGTTCTCACTGCAAATATGTAATTATGCTGCCTTGTGGGTTTTAAAAATTAATTAAAAAAAGAGAAATATAACCCTCCTCTCCAGAAGAAACTGAGCTAAAAGGTGAACTTTGGATGCCCAGCCCCCAGTGGGAAATGGTTCCTTCCTGCCTGGGGGTACACGCTCATTTAATCAATTCACCATCCCCCAAAAAGTAAGCGGTTTACAAACAGTGTCTCTGTTTGTGGCTGCCACCACTGGGGACCTATTTGTCACCTGTGAAGCTGTTTCCTCTAAAGTCACCCCAAAACACAGTCTATGCAGCCATCGGCTTCAAGCCCACGGTGTTAAAACACAGGGCTCTAATAACATTTGCTTTTTAGGTCAATAGTTTAGTTTACTTTTGGTATTTAATGATATATGGGGCGAGCTGTTATTAAAGCACTTTCTTCTCTTGTTCAATACCTTCAAAACCACCTGAAATACCCTCGTCTCAAATTGGTGCCCAAGCTCCAGCCTCTCTCAGATTGAAAAAGGCCCATACAATGATTTAATTTTTTTTCTAGGAAGTTTAACATAAACACACACCACACCTCAACGGCCTTTCTACCACTGCAAGGCACTGTTAAACAGATAAACTGATTTTTACAACTAAAATTTTGGGAACCAAAATGATAAGTGTGTTCCAGTTTGTGGTTAAACATGTACACGCTATGCTTTGGGAACTTTTAATTAATAAAAATGTTTTTTCCACTTCAATACCTGTACAGTCTAATTGGGAAAAAAAAAAAAAGTCAGCAGTTGTTTTAAGGGGATTGTGTCAGTTACTGTCTTTAATTTCTACACTATTCTCATTTAAACTTTCCATGCTGTTGGTTTTTTTGGTGGTTGTAGAAGCTTTGTATGAGAAGGGAGGGTTTCCTGAACCCACAGTAGTTTATAGAACCTGATTGTAACCTGGGTAGCTGGAAATTAACTAATTCTTGATCTGAAAAGAGCCAGTAGCTGAATGGTATATTCCAGGCTAAATCAAGCCGTTCTGCTTCGTCTTAGAAGAAGAAATTAAAACTTGTAATGAAAATAACAGTAAAGGTGGTGATGGATGCAAAGATTTACACCAGTAAATCACACCAAGGCAATTATTAAACACCATGAAATTTGGTGTTTAATCATTTCTTAGGGAAATACAGAGTTACAGACTAAGCTTCTGCTGGAAATACTCCTCATACACGCTGCAGCTATTTAAGCAGTTACTGTTTCTCTGACCTCTTGGTGTTGCAGGCTTTTGCCTTTCAGAACCAGCTGGCTCTGTTAAGAACCATTTCCAGTTCCCCACAAGGTGGATCGGGTGACTCGCAGTTTATCACCCCTGGAGGCCACCTCAAGGACAAAGAAAAGAGATACACTCAAAACTAATGTTTTTATACGGGGGGAAGGATGGCACCACCACAGCCTGGTGAACACAAGCAAACAGGCTAATTAGAACCTGAAGTCCTCCTGCTTCCCTCCACCTTAATTTACTCTTTCAGACATTATTTCATGGGAAGTAGATGTTCCTCAAGCTGCCTGGACTTTGACAGTCTCTCACCCAGCCCTGCCTGGAGGCAACACTGCAGTTTTCAGCTTCTGCAGCCTCTGGAGACAAAGATTCCTATTTCTGCCTCCTGATACCCATCAGTGCCCCTCGGGCCTACGCTGCTAGGAGGAAAGGCCAGGCTGTGGGCAGAGGTCCTGCATGCCACCGTTAGAGTCACCCCCTCAGAAAAATTCTAAATACTTGTGAAAATATTTAAGTTTTGTTGCTTTACAGCTAACTGTTCCAGTGTAGGTGAACTGCTGAACTGTACTCACCCCAGTAACCTTCCAGTTCCTATCCAAACACGCTGCCTTTACTTTGTCTGTGCTGCCAGAGGTATAATGTTGGCTGTGGTTACTTTTTCCACAACAAATAAAGCTGGAAAAAAAGGGAATAAATACACTCAGGCCCGTGGCCACTTCATCTGCAGTATCATAACTCACACAGTTGGAAGTTCCCAGAACAGCTGATTCACACACTCCCAACCGGCGCTGCAGCGACAGCCCCGCAATGTGCTAATGTCAGTGAGAGGGAGGTATGTGACAGCACAGGGAGGGACAGGACGAGCTTTAAACAAGGATGGCTTGGCTTTTTTTATTATATATAGTGTCAGAACAGAATTAAGGAAAAGGATAGACCAGTTCCTAATTAAACTATACTACTGGGACTTGCTTTATGATTTATTTTCTTCCTCGACGCTTTGTAATGTATGTAATTATTCCATCACTTTGTATTCTCTGAGCTGTTGGGGGTGTGGGCTGTTCTATGCACAGTTTAGATCCATTCACATCCACAAATCACTGTCCCATAAGGGCTGGGGTTTATTTTGAGGCTCTCAGTACCTGCAATGCTATTATTTCAGAAGGGCCAAGATTTTTCCAGCTTTTCAGTCCTGTTAAAAACAGTTGTGAGTTTTAAGCCAAGAGTGTTCAAACCAAGTCACAGCCACTGACCTGCAGCAAAGAACGAACCAACCACTGACAACACATCACTTTGTGTCATAAAACAGCTCAGCAACACAACTTCAGAGCTACCAGTCAAGAGTTTCTCCTCAGCCTGCTCTACTCCACTTGCTTACGCTCTTTTTATGCTCAAAGGTGTCAACTTTCATGCTAACAAATCCGTTTTTTTTTTTGCTAATAACAACTGGGGTATTTCAGCATTAATTCAAAATTTGGTCCTTTATTAGGTATAGATAAGTTTACAAATGGTAACAAAAGTATTACACTTCTGAAGAAAACACACCAAATCACATTTCCAAGAGCTCTTCAAAATTCTCCTCCTTTGAAACAGTCTGATTGGTTTGTGTTTAAATACAAATAATGCATTTTCCTGATTTTCATGAGGTTACAGGAATTGTATGACATCACAAACAGCTCTACCTCCAACGCCAGACACCGCTCACTCAAAATACTCCATCCTTTCACAGTTTAGTCCTTGATTAACTGATTTTCTTCTGACTTCTACTATTCTTTGAGTCCCAGAGTATAACAATGTTAAAATACACCCAAAATAATAAAAAGTGTAAACAAGAGACAAGGGAGACGGATACGGGGAATAGGTCGGGTAACCGCTGCGGAGGGGACACGGCGGCGCTGGCCAGAGACAGGAGGCCCATCAGGGTTATGGAAAGAAGAAACTGTAAAATAAGGAATGACGTATTAGTGAGCTGTGATTTAACACCTCAAACGAACAAGCTTCATTACTCGGGTGCTCTCTGTTCTTCAATCTATACAGAGATGATACTGCAGGAAAATTATAGCACTCCTCTATGCTGAGACAGAGTGGCTTTCCCCATTCCGAGCTTTATACAGAGTTACAGACATAAAACTGGTTTATTCAAGTACTTAGAATAGAATCATAGAATTGTCTGGGTTGGAAGGGACCTTTAAGATCATCTAGTCCAACCAACAACCTAATTCTGATAAAAAACCATCACTAAACCATGTCTCTAAGCACTATGTCAACCCAGCTTTTAAATATCTCCAGGGATGGGGCCTCAACCACTTCCCTGGGCAGCCCATTCCAAGGCTTAAGAACCCTTTCCGTGGAAACATTTTTCCTAATCTCCAATCTGAACCTCCCCTGGTGCAACTTGGGGCCATTTTCCTCTTGTCCCATTGCCTGGGACTTGGGAGAAGAGTTGAAGAGAGAACCATGTTTGTCACAGTCAGTCTTAGAAATAAAGGTAAAGATTAACAAGCAGAAGAGAGGATTATACTGGTGCCAAAGGAGATTTTAGTTCTGGGCTTCTTCCTGTCTCCAAGTAACCTTTAGGTATGCACAAACTGTGAAAGACAAATACTTCTGTACCATGAAGAGCTGCAACTAAGAGTTACAGGAATTAAAATTGCTTACCAGACTCCTGACAATCTTGGGAAAAGACTTAAACCAAGAAACGTAGCCCTTGAGGGAAAGGGAGAAGGGTTTCAGCTGCAGGTCCTCTGCTGAAGTCTTCTCAAATATGGAGAAGGAAGCCAGGCAGACGGAGAGGAAGGCCAGCGTGGTCACAGCGTAGGGCAGCAGCAGCCCGTCCTTCAGCAGAAGGGGCAACATGCTGTTAAAACACAACGGCCCGCAGGAGTGAGCACACGTTCCGAGTTGTATTTTGGATATAAAAAGAGGAAAAAGAACACATTTGTGTTCACTACAATTGGGGAAGAACACGGTTTTAATGTAGTGTCAACAGGGTCCAACTCACCTGAAAGTTGAAACAAGTAAAAACCACGTAGCCATAAAAGGGATTTCATTGATGATTAAGCAGACTGGGCTAAAACGAGAAGAGGAAAAAGAGATAACAAAGGCTGAGATGGCAGCAATTCACCCCCTCAGCCTTTCACAAGGATGCTGTGTTCCCACTGCTCTGGGCAGAGCTCTGCCTGCTCTCCCTGGGCACCGGCTCAGAGCATCCAGGTACAGGCAGCACCCCAAGAGCTGCACCCGCTGCTGGGGTGCCCTGCTCCCCCCTGCACCCCAGTGAACCACACCTTAAGGACAAAGGGAGAGAAGGGCCCCTTTGCCATCACTTTTAGTGAGGTATCAGTTGCCCAGTTTAACTAGCCACCACACTCCAGCCTTACTGGGTAATTAAGTGATGTCTCTGCCTGACCCATCCCATCCCTGGAGGTGTTCAAGGCCAGGTCTGCTGGGGTGCCCTGCTCCCCCAGTGAACCACACCTTAAGGACAAAGGGAGAGAAGGGCCCCTTTGCCATCACTTTTAGTGAGGTATCAGTTGCCCAGTTTAACTAGCCACCACACTCCAGCCTTACTGGGTAATTAAGTGATGTCTCTGCCTGACCCATCCCATCCCTGGAGGTGTTCAAGGCCAGGCTGGATGGGACTTGGAGCAACCTGGGCTGGTGGGAGGTGTCCCTGCCCAGGGCAGGGGGGGTGGAACTCAATTTTTCAGGTCCCTTCCAACCCAAACCATTCCGTGATCCCCACAGCAGCCTGTCCCTGGGCAAACAGCTCTCCTCTCTGCCACATCCCACTCCAGCAAACCCACTCAGAGCACTGCGCCCGAGAGACCGGCACAGCCGCGGTTGTATACTTTCATTTACAAGTTATTCAGAAAAATCAAGTGTGTAGAGTTTTTTAAATCAGATATATTTGTAAGCGAGAAAGCAGCATGCAATAACAAGACGAGGAAAAGATCAAAATATATCCACAGAAAAATAATTTACTTACACTGACACTAGAAGAATAGATTTTTCATGAACTTGAAAGGAGAACAGGAAAAATGACAATGCACAACTAACCTTAGAAAAGGAAATCAGAGGGATATTAGTGTATGTGACTGCAATGCAAAGTGCTGGTTTAGCTTCTCTGCCAGCATAGACTTTACATGAATGTATGAGCTAAACAATCTGATTTTTCTAATTAACTGCTACATTTACTCCAGTGCAATTTACAAACACCCAGAGCTGCTCCTGTAACCGCCTCTACATACAAAAAACCCCACAATGTTTGAAAGTTTACCCAGAATTAGTCCGAAAACACTTCCTGTAAAGAGCTCTCACTCTTGCTTGGCTTTACTGACAAGAGCATCCCCACCAAGTGCACACCGTGTTCACACACAGCAGCACTGGGGAGAGCTACTCACCTTTTTAACATAACATTTAGCTCATCAACACAAACAGCAAAACCCCAAAGTAAACAAACTGTCTTCCCCCCCCCCAAATAAAAACACACTCCAACACATAAATCAATTCTTAGAAAGGAGAAATGTTAGAATTAGACAGTATTAGGATAAACTGTCAAACAGTACTCACATAAAATTAAAAATAAAAATTATCTTGTAACTCCTCAAACCTTAGGACCAGCTCCAGATAATTTTGATTTCAAGGAAAACTGATTTTGGCATGTAAGCAATGTTAATGGGCTTAAATGCAATGATATAATGGCTAAGAAAAAGGCAAACGTTTGGGAAAATAGCATCATTTTCTTTTCAAACCGCTAATGAGCTTACAATGTCCATTTTGGGACTTTTTATTGAATTTTGCAGCCAATGCATTAAGAAAAACTTGCACTTTGGAAGCTAAACAAAAAGAGGACACATTTTAACACTGTATGAGGCTTTAATGTGTATAGAATTTTCTAAAGACTCTTCAGGGGAAAATAAGAAAAATACAGCCTTAAATAAAGAAAATTGAGGCTAAGGAAAAGTCTGGATTTAAAAGACAGGTCAGGCCTCCTGGACATGTGACAGCAAAACACTTTTTGACCCCCCTCTTCAGCAGAAACAGGATGAATTTAGCGGTACGAGCCCGTTGCAGCGACTGTGAGAACTGTTGGTCACACAGCAGTGATGGATATAAAACCAGGAGCAATTAAAAACCAGACACTTACCAAAGCAAATTTAAAGCCTCGCAGAGAAGGCTGAATGGTCAGTTTTATACAAGTAGGAAGGAGGCTCAGGAATGTCACAGCAAAACTGCAGAATTTCATAAGAAAAACACTTTTAATACATGAGAAACTACATCCGTGGCATCACATAATCACTTCTGAAAACTATGAAAGTTTGGGAAATTACAACTGAATTTTTAAGTACAAAATCCCTCAAGAGACTCGCTGACATGAGCACTGAGGGGTCTCCTCTGACAGAAGCACTTCTGGAGAAGGAATAAAGCATTTCCACTAATATTCAGACTCTACAGACCTAGATCTGAATTGTTCACTTGGTCGAATAGCAGAACTGTGACCTCTGACTTCTAAGAGCACTAAAAGAGGCAATTCTTTGATGGGGAAAGCATAAAAATTTTAACTCTGCTTTAACCAACCGAGTAGCTTAAATCACTACGTAAACAAGCAGGAAATTTTTCAGTTATGAATATTCCTGACAGTACTTGGGGAAACCCTTATCACCAGAGAGAAAAGTCCAATATAGGAGAAAAAACATTTTTTTCACGATTTTAAAAACCACTTGTCATAATTCTTTGAAAAAATTTACTCATTTACAAAAAAAACAAAAAAAAACCCCTACCTAAACCAACTTCCTTATCACTTGAGAGAAAAGTCCAATGTAGGAGAAAAAATATTTTTTTCAAGATTTTAAACACCACTTTTCATAATTATTTGACAAAATTTCCTCATTTACAAAAAATAACAAAAAAAAACCCCTACCTAAACCAACTTTAGTTATGTCTTACCTGAGCTTTAGTTGAGTTTGAGGTGATACTATATTCTTTATCTTTATAAGGACACTTAGACTGCACCAAATATTGGCTACTTTATCCTGAAAAGGGAAAAAAAAAAGGTAATTAGCGATAATTTCTTTCATTAAATTTATGTTTGTGACAACAGTGGGGCTTAGGAGGTGGGGGACAGTTGGGCTTTCACTGTGATAATGCAAAAACACACTTGCAGAGATACATCGTATTCTTAGATGTACTTGACTCTGATCTTCAAAAATGGAAGGTTTCAAGAGACTCGATTTAAATGCGTTCTAAAGTAACTGAGAAATAGCTCTTCAGCACAAGAAACTACTTCTTAACCTGTGAGATCACACATTTTGTGAAAATAATGCTCTGAACTGATTAAACAGTGCCATGTATGAATCTCTTTTCCAAACAGGAAGACGTGCTGTGTATTGTCACATTTCATTACGTACCTGAACGTATTTAGCTGTGCTTACTGCTTGCTAGCAATGTCAGAGTTAACCCTCTAATAAATCAAGAAGTCTAAAGACATTAGCAGTTGTGCTAGGATCGCTTTCAAAATTAAATTTGTAACTACAGCTCTCGGGCTCGTGAAACTCATCCCCAAACAGCTGCTTGAATCACAGCTGTGTGGACATAACGGCAGGAGAACTACCAGCACCAACAACTGAGCCCTCGGCCTCACGTGCTCAGCAGCCACACGGAAAATGCACTTCTTCAAATCTGCTGAGGATTACGGGGGGGAGCGGAGGGGTTTGGCAGCACCAGCAAACACACACGACGCCGACTGAACAGCCAATGCCATTTTACAACCATCAGCATTTGTTACAGCTTCTCTAAATGGGAACCGATTCAAAGAACCTGTTACAGGCAGCCCCGGTATAAATTTACCGCACGGTGCTTACGTGGACAATTTCTCATTTTATCTAGATTAGCATCCAGCAAGTCACTCCCCTCATCAACTCTGAAAATATTCGGGCTAATATTAGACTAAAATCCTTATGCTCTTTCGGACTCATTGGTTATTGTCATTTACAGGTTTCATTTTTAAACTTCATACTGGATAAATAAAAAAAAAAAAATGTGGTGACCAAAACTTTCTTTATAAATCCCAGATAGTTCCCAAGGAATAGGGTCATTGAATTGGTTTCAGGTCGGGATTTTTTTCTGGGAGGTGGTGGGTGTCTTTTGAGGGAGGGGGGGGGAGGGATAGTAGGGTGGTGGTAGAGGATTGTTTGGTTTGGGGTTTTGTTGGCTTTTTTGTTTCTTTTCAGTAAACTAGTAGAGAATACACTGAGAAGACTTCCATACAGCTCCCTCATTAAAATACTGCCTTTGGCACATCAGCATTAACTTTTAAAGAAAAAAGGGCCAGTTGTGATATTATTTATATTAAAAGAAATTTTAAGATGAATCAAACCATGTCAGTATTTGCTTAAATCCCTGTGACATCAAATTCTGAAAATGCAAAGTTTCCCTTTATTAGTTAAACTTGAAGTTGAGAATTTGCTTTTAAAAGTGTAATATTAAGGCTCAGGCCCTAATTAAGCAAAACACCAACTCCCTGTTACTTGGGAAATGAGTACCCTTTCTTTTCTGGGTGAGACTCCAGTGGGGGCAGTGGTAGGTAAATGAGTAATTACTCTACTGGATTCAGGCTACGGCACCCACCACCTTGCAACAAATGTTGAGAGCCTGAGGAAAAACAAAACTAAAACCAGCCTAAAACTTTCAGAAAATAGTGGGAAACTTGCACTGGAAGTACAAGGTGGGTCAAAGGGAAAGTTCTATGCTGCACCCAAACCACTGTTTTTTATTTTAAATAATGAACCCTGTTGGAAAAAAAGCTGAGCAGAAAGACAGAGGCTGAAGCTGTTAACTTTTACGGTTACATCTTCTGACACTGTCAATTACTATGGAATCTATTTCAATGGAAAAATGTATGGATTGAAGTATGGGTTTGATGATGGGATAAGTGTTGTCTACTCGTATAATATCCTGGAAGATGCCAGCTGAGCTGGGGTTAAATACTGGATTAAATAACTGGCAAGAAAGGAGTGCTGAAGAAGCCATCTCAAATTACTGGTTCTGTGGTGTGTCTCCCACATGAAATCCCTAAAGGTCACGATGAAGGTTTCTCAAGGGATCTAAGAATACAGAACATTTAGAGCGGGGTGGGGGAGAAGAAAACATGCATGCCTCAAACAAGCCTCGGTCAATGGGAAAGAGTCTTCTGAGTACTTGCATGATTTGTGCCATGTCGGTACAGAACGGGAGCCAGCAGACAGCAAAGGAAACCACCACTGTCCCTGCTATTTTAATTAACAATATTAATCTGCAATCGAGAAGAAAAACTCATATCAGAACAGGTAAATCCAGCTACTGGTAACAAAAGTCAGTTATTAGTTAATAGTATCAACTTTCTTTAAAAAAAGAGATATAGAATGGAAGGTAACAAATCTAAACAAGAGCTACCAGCACCACAGAAAAAGTTCATCATCCCCAGATTAGTGATAACAGCTCCCTCAGAACCACAGAGCTGTCAATCTAATCACCCTGCAGCCCATATATAATTTAGCTTACAGAATGAAGAGACCCAAGAAGGGACACCTTAACAGATTTTGCTATTTGTCCAATGGAAATACTTAACATAGATCTCAGAGATCTATGCTGCAGAGAAATACATTACAACAACGTAAGTATCTTCCACTAGAAATTAATTCAGAAATGTCCACATGCAAATAAGAACCAAGTTCTCAATGCCAGGCTGCCTGGACATATTCCTGAGAAAGATAAAATGGTTTAAAATCACTTACCCCTTTCCTTTCAGTCCCTTCTTGAAGCATTTTCCAAGTAAATAGCAGAAAAAGGGCAGAGAATGGTAGAGTTCCATTTGCTTATAATTTAAGGCCAAGCAAAATGCCACTGACCCCAAAAGGTCCCAGTCATAAGACAAACAGAGAACGCCCCACAAGGCAAAGCCCAGGCTCACTGAGTTGTATATGTTTTTTTATGTCAAGGACAAGATACACATCTTGGCACTGGAAGTCAGTAACGAATGCCCTGAGGGACAAGCATAAAATACCACGCAAAATAAGGTTTTCCAAGTTAGCTTTAAAAACACATTGGCAGTTGTAACCATGATGTTCAGAGACAGAAATCATTTTACTTCTGTTTAAAGTGTACTTTTTATATTCCCAAGGCTTGATTCAAAGCTTGCACAGGCAAAAGTGGGGGCAAAAGTATAATTAACACACACAGTGTTTGGTGACTGTACTTAGTAAGATGCATCAGGGTAGATTTTTTTTTTTCTTGGTATTTACATGATTGAGGATAAAGCTTTCAAAAGTCTCTCCTCCCAGCTCTGAAAAAGTATGTGCAGAATATTCAAATATATCAGTACTTAATTCATATATTATTTAGTTCAAGAACTCCTGAGGTTTTTTCTGATTAGATTATACTCACAATGCACCCTCATCCATGAGGAGTTCCCTTGGCTGCTAATACTGTCCCAACAATGAATAATAGTTACTAAAAGAAACGTTACTTCCTTACAACTTTGAGAACAGATACCCAAGCTCAGGAGAGTTTGAAGAGATTAGGCTACACTTACTATTAAGTTGCAACAAAAAATTAGCTTTGTCTTTTACCGTTATTTTTACACAATGAGAGAAATCACGTAAGAGATACTCATATTGTCAGAAATGTCACAATATTTTGTTTTCTCCTTGTCGATACGAATAGCTGTGAGAAGGCATTCAGATGCCTACTTTGTTTTCAGCCCGCTCAAATTCCCCACTCAAACCCACCACGTATATTTGAGATCAGATCAGCCAGTAGTTACACCAAAAGGCTGTGATTTCACAGAGACATGCAGCCGCAGTTAAGGTTAAATAAATCTATTGACTCCTGGGGAGCTGGTCACAGATAGTGAGGTTATTCACCAAAGAGTCACAGGGCTGGGAGAGAGCACAGGAGACCATGCAGACCATCACCTGTCTGCTTCAAGTGTCTGCTACACCCGTGTCAGTCCTGACATGACATTTGCTGAACCTCTTCTTAAAGATCTTGATGCTGCAGATTCCACAACATCCATAGACAATCTATTCCAGCATTTCACTATAATTAAAGTCCAAAAAATTCTTCCGTGTATTTAAAAAAACCCCAAATATTCCCTATGGTAACTTGGGCCATTACTTCTTGCCCTGTCCAACACACGACACACAGAACAGATTATTGCCTTCCTCTTTGTACACCTTTTGCATATTAGAAAACTGTAACCCTGTGCCTTTCCTGGCCACCAGCTTCTCTCACCTAAGTTGAACTGTGTTTATTCCCATCCCCATTCTTGTAAGTGATGTCTCCAGATCATCCACATCTTTAAAGAGTTAGGTGAAAAACAGAATTTCAGAATTCCTGAACTGTAACTCAAATAATCCAATAGCACAATGAATTTTTTTTTTTTCTTCCAAATCTGCTTTCTAAGATATATCATCTTCCAAGTTCGCCATGCACTCTCTTGGAAGAAAATCACAAATTAGTAAACTTGATTTAGTAGGTGCTGGTGAGTTTTGCTATCTCCTTGGAATATTTAAATATCCACATTTATCACAACTCCAGGAACGTGTCCCTCTGGCTCGACGGTACTGGAGAAGTCAAGTGACAGCTTGCTGATGTGCAAATCACGTATAAAAACCTGAAATCTTATTTAAAAAGACCCACCCATGAAAGTGTCTGCCACCAATATTGGCAAGCTCGCTCTGATGGCCTAATTCATATCAGACACCTTACTTTTAAATGGTGAGGCGTAAAGTGAATCCAGTCTCAGGTAATCACAAAGGCAAGACAGACTGGCACGCTATAGACCTGGACATCTGACACAGCTGCACTTGACACACTCCTCTGCCATCTCCAGAAGAGCTTAAGTGTAAATGGAAATTCATTTCACTGCAGAACAAGGATACTGGAAGTGTCCGTGGTCAATAAGAATGAGGCCTGGATAAAGCAGGATGCAGAGAGCACTGGAAACCTAGAAAGAAGGATCAAAAAAAGAGAAATAATTATTTTCCCCTCTAAGTTAGACATTAAACAAGGAACTTATACTACTTCTCCAGTACAAAAAAGGTGCATCCTATACGTAGGAATCTTTCTCTCTAGAAGTAACCCGTCAGTCATATTTTGAGGAGTAAAAAAGGATACAGCTTTTCCATAAATAAGAAAATACTGACTGGAGACCACCCTGCCCTTTGCCAACCAGCTCAAAGCTCACCTGTACCCATCTCAACCCTTGGAACCACTCCAAAAATCAGAAGACTTATTATTCCAACGTGCATTGGTTCTACCATAAGGAGGGTACAATAAGACAAAGCAATTCCCAGATTCCCCCGTGTCACAGCACAAATCTCAGCTTTACTACCCAAGTAATAAATTCAGAAAGAAAGAATTCAGGAGTTCACGGCTACTAAGCGTCAAAGCATCTTGTTATTGTTATTGAAAACATTAAAATAATTGCCTTAAGATAATAGCTTGCTTAAAAAATCTTTTTAACTGGAAAGCCTTTAATAGGAGATGTACCGATTGTCATCAGTTTTACATCAATTGAAGCCATCATAGTGTTCTATACATTAATTAACTCTGATACTGTTACATTTTTACCCTGTTTTAACAGTATGTTTTCTTTGTTTTTTAATTTATACACACCCCAGATACTTGCCTTCTTTTTAGTAGATGTTTCTTTCAAGGAAAAACAATATAAAATAACTGCAGGAATATAAACCAGCAAATCAGCAACAAACACTGAAAAATAAAGATTAACTGTATGTTAGAATCCTCCCACATACCTCATCTTAATGCTATTAAAGTTGTGCATTTTTAGCTGGATTGTGAATCTTTGACTCTGCTTGCAATTTTAACTTCTGGATACTCCACATCCTGGTTGTGTTTGGTGTAAAAAAACCTCAGATGATAATAACTACACAGCACTGGAGCGAGCCTAGTTGCCTACCTCTTGAATGTGGGTTTTGCAGCTGTATCCTCACTGAAAACTTCACTTCAGTCATTAACTGAATTTCAAAAGGCACGTGACTATAATTTCAGCTGAATATGCTTTTCTTTTGACTTATGTGGCTCACAGTATGTTTCATTGTTTTAAAGACAGCTCAGGTTTGGCTGTTACACCAAAGCTAATTTTTTTGCCAACTGTTTTCAGGAAGACAAAGAAAACGTATGGGCAAATAAACATTAAAATATCAGAGAGTCCTTCATGAGAATGAAGTGGGTAGTTCCACTTCAAAGGACAAAAAGAAATAGGTCTACAGAATTTGATCTTCTTAATGTTTCTAACGCTATCATTTCTGATGTCCAAAAGCTGCTGCTTCCATGTGTTCAGCTGTTTTGGGTTCTGGCACAGCCTCAGTCAATAAGGGAGCACACTCTAGTTCCTCACATGCCGAAACGAGAGAAGGCATTCTTCATTCTCCAAAGAAATCAACTACGATTAGATCCAGTCAAGTTGTTTGATGGAACAGATAGTCTGAAGACACAAATAATTAAGAAGCACTGGATTGTTACAATCTCCATCGTATCTGTGTGAATCACTAGTGATGTGGATAAATAGACTAAAACTAGTTATTTGGCTTTGATCATCTGCCTACAGCAAACATAGGTACCAGGGTCAACAAGAAAACCTGCCTCAAATTACATCAACTCCTGCTTGTGCTTAAACCACCAGGTGAATTCTTCTGCAGTGTTGCCTTAAGAGCCTGAGAAAAATCTTAGATTATTTCTACAAACTGGTTTCAGAAAACGTACTATTATTCCAAGAGGGAAGTATACTTTGCCTCTTTTTAGTCACAGGCTTTGGAAGGAAATGTTTAAAGATATCAGTTATTTGGTGATGAATCAGGCTTAAACCACAATTAAACAAATATACCCAAGGCGTTAGCAAAACAAATACACTGACATGTAAAATAAAGGTGTAATATCAACAGCTGACATTGACGACTCTGAATTATTTTAATGCATTCTCCTAATGGCCATTGTTAAAAAAGGGTTATCCGTTCTCCTGGATCCATCAGTGGTTTGTCAAGTGAGTTGATTTCAAAATTAATAAAGACCATTTCAAGGGTAATTAAGTTCTAGTGATTTTTATTTTTTTTTTTCAATTCAGTCAATTACTAGAGACCAGACTGAGAGGTTTGTGAAGTACAGAAAAGCTACTGATGAACAACAAATTCTGCTGGTACAATCAGAAAGCATTTTGTGGAATTCTACTGTTATGCAAAGCAAAAGACAGATTTTAAATGGAAGAAAATAGTAAGAGGATAATATGGCATCTGCCGTTGCTTAGAGAACAAGAGCTTACTGACCACATTGTTTGCTCTCCTACTGATACAGTTACTGAATTAAATTATCTGCATTTTTTTCTGCCCTTGTTTTACCCTTTTCTTTTAGAGCAGTTCAAAATAATCCAATGGTCAAATGAGCAACTACAGGAAAATGAAATTTAGTATAAAAATGGTAAAATACATTTTTACTTTTTTGTTAACAGAAGTTTATCTTTAGGAAGTGGCGACCATTTGAAAGAAAAGTGACATCTTTAAAAATATCAAATATCTCTCCCTTTCAGATAAAGTATTCAGCTCATAATAAAAATCTCTGAGCCCTCAAGAGGCTGTTAAGTTAGAGAATGCCAGTACACAGGCAAAATAATTTTACAGTAAAACCCAAGCTAAGCTGAAAATGAAAAGCATATTTATCATAGTAGAAGGGAAAACAATACTATTTTCAAAGTTAAAATTAACAGGTCTACGCCACAAGAAAAAAGTAGCTTTTTTCATTATTTATAGTTTTTACTGAACCAATTTGGTTGAAAACTTGTTTGCATTTTTTATGTTTATCAGCTTCACAAATGATAGCAGAATAGAAAAGAACAGAGGAGTCTGGTTCATAAATGGACCTGCAAAGCCACCCAACTGAAAGAACTGAAGATAAACTGGTGAAGGCAGAGAAGCTGCATGATATTAAACTTGCTAAATTAGTAACTGAAACAAAGCTGTATGATTGTCTTAAGGAAATACAATTTTCCTACCTGTTGTACGCATAAATAACTTATGTGGCTGACTCTCATACCCCCGAGATGTGTGCAGAGCAATCCAATCAGGATTTATTAACTTTGCACTGTAAAACAAAGTACAGACACATCAAAACGTAGACAGTTCTCATTTTCCTTTACACTCCTTTCAGCAATAAAAGATGACATGCACAGGAGCATATTCCAAGAATTAAGATGAATGAGAAGAAATATTTCAAAGAGCAATAGTGATCAATGAAGGATTTTCCTCACCACTAGATCAGCTTACACTATAGACTTTAGCTTTCACAATTAAAAAAAAATAAAAATATTTGAAAACAGTAAGAATGGAATACAATATTTATTAGGACAAGATAACCACCTTCAGTCTAGTTCTACTGACTTTTAAAAAAACAATTGTAAATACCTTTCATACTTAAGTATTAAATATAAACCATTTACAGTTCACATAGATGCCCCGCATAACTCTGCCTGTGCACTTTAACCTACATTCTTATTCCATAAGTCTCATTCCAACAGCAGTAAAGCCCTTGTGGAAAAAGTATTCCAATAACAGAATTCTATTTACATGATATCCAGTCATCAAATGTCACTTGGGCTCTCAATACAAGAGAGGTTTCCCATGCGATGCGCCCAATTCCTACAGCCCTTTCCTCTCTGCATCACTGATCCAACAGTGGCTTAAATGGAAAGTGAAGTGTCTAAATCACATCTAAATCTGCTAAAATTTACAGACCTGGCAAAAAGAAAAAGGAAGAAAGTAACCCTTAAGTCCCCTCCTTGCAATAATACAAAACAGAGAAATAGCAGCATTCATTTTAAGCAATAGGGATACACACAAAATCTGTTTCCCCAGCTTTAAAGTAGCAAATAATACTTTCCAGAGTGGTAGCTTTTAGCTACTAGTTTCTCTCTACAGCAGAGAAAGAAAGAAAAAAAAAAAAAAAAAAATTAAAAAAAAAGGTGAATTTGACGTTTTGTGTTCTCCACAGAAGTAGGTATTTAAAATAAGGAACTTACATGTAAGCACACAGAAAGCTGTGATAGGCAGTAAGAGGTGGATAATCAAGGCCCCAGTACAGTAGGTTGTTATCACTTGTATTGAAGTACCTAAAAAAAAAATTAAGAAGGATCTATGTTTTCAGCTTCGTTTCAGTCCAAGGAAACAGTGGAATATTAAACCAAATATTTTTATCGACATACTCAAAATGCAAAAGCAGATTAGCAAGTAATAGCTCTGCTTTATTTTACTTCATACAAAAAAATCTCAAATAACACCACAAAAGTTGAAGTGATTGAGAGTACGCTGCCTTCTGTTTGCAAAATGGAAGATTTTAAAAAGCTGCTCTTAGAGCTGACTTACCTCAAGAGGGAAAATACTTAACGTTAACAGTTTACCAAAAATCCAGAGACTAAAGACAAAGCTCACACAAAAATAGTTAAATAAATCTAGAGCTACAGTAGATATGTACACGTGGTAGGCTCTGCAGGTCCTCACCTCCATCTGCAAACCAAACCCACAGTTCTGGAATAATTGGCCTGCATGAAAAGACAGCAATCAGTTCGCCCAAAAGGAAAAAACCCAATGCAGTTAAAAGGAAATTTCAAAAAAAATGGAATTCACTAGTGATTTTTTTCTTACATTAATCCTAGATTCCTGTTTTTTCTGGACTTGGACAACACATTTAATATGTGACAATGACTTCTGAATAGTTAAACTTTACCTGGTACTCTTTTAATGCAGCAAGTTGTGAGCTGTTTCTGCTCTGGAAAGCAACTGAACAGAAGTGGAAAAGGGTGGCATAAAGATATTCCACAGGCAAACAACAAGCAGCATAGATCTGGAAAAAAACCTATGCCACAGCAGGCACACCTCAGCAATCCTGCCAGCACGAATGTAGGAGACAGGGGGCTAAAAAGTTCCTTCCAAGGGAACACCACGTTACCAGAGTAACACCTCCTGAATAACCAACACAAGGCCATCAACCTCAATCAGGTGTGTCAGTCACAACCACTTTACCTAGTTCTGCCTCAAAACTCAGGCAAACCACAGGAGAAAAAGAAAAAGGATTTTCCCATTTGTAATTAAGTATTTCTCTGGAAGGCCGACAGCAGTTAAAATTTAGTCACCTCTTCCAAATGACAAAGAGAAAGTTTTATTCAAGGAAAACAGAAGTTACAAAAATAAGGCTTCAGACCCTTTATATCTCACAGTGAAACAGACTGACTAGTCTAACTGCCAAGGGACAAGCTCTTGGTTTCTCCAGTTTCTCTCTTCAAACGCAGCCAATTTTTGACATTTATTATAGTAAATGATATTTCTTCAATTCTTTATGAGCTGCCTGAAGTATCTTATGAACTGATGATAAATCATATTTCTTTGAGTTGCATCTCTGCTTCCTATCCTGCAATTCAAGGCTGCTCACGCCAAGGCAGTTCAGATTCTTCATGCAGACTGTACGATTCTGCAACTTCATAGTAAACATTCTAGTTTTGTTTTTTTTTTTAGTTTACCTTCCATAAACTCATAGTTTCAACAGAAAAAACAATCCCTATACCGAGTAATATTTAGCGAAAAAGCCTTCACCATTTTAATTAGCAGTATAATAAGAATGAATGTTCTTAAAGTAGCCTTTAATAATGTCAAGACTCTAAAGAATAATATAAAAAAGAAATATTTAAATTCTGGCCTCTTGGTCAGAGAAATCTCATGCAAAGAAACTAAGTACAAACCATATTGTACTTTACTGCAGCAGTTTTTAATGAATCTTTGTTTTGGATCAAAGAAAATAAGCACAGAACGTGCAGCTATATTACCTATACATGCCTGTTTAACAGTAAATGTGATGTGAAAAGATCAAGAGATCTTACAGGACGATGTCCTCAAGAGAAAGCTGCTCTCTCAATTTACCTAGACAGATTTACAGAAGAACACGTGCTTGCTGCACAGACAGCTTTTCTAAATACTAAACAAACAACACCAGAAGTAATTAGAACTTCAACTTCAAATTTGAACGCTATTTTTACATACTGGAGTATAACATCTTTTCACACTGCCTATTTCTATAATACAGGAGGGGAAAGACAGCCTAGTATTCTAGAACATAATCCCTTGCGTGTCAGCCGAGATGTTGTTTTCCAAACACCCAAGACCGAACACGACTTCGCTGTATTAGAGATTCAATTCCCAAAGCAGAGCCCATCCAAAAAACTTCTGTTATAAATAAAGTGAAGAGCAAATACAAGACTGAGATGCCCAACTGGCAGCCCATAGGCTAAACCCAGCCTGCAATATAGTTTTATCTGGCCCCTGGGAATACCTAGAAATGACGACTGATATAACTCTTCATTTTAAGTACATATAGTTCCACGTAGCAGAATGGATCAAAGCTGCCAAGTCTATTATTATGTCAGTTCTCCATTATCCAAACTCTGGCACAATGAGGGTTTTGGATATCCAATGTTAGGTCCCGGTTCAGTTGCTGGTCCGGAAGGGTTCTCACCCCCAGAAAAATGTAGAAAAGAAATTATAATAGAGACACAACAGAGTCAGCAGTGTTCAACAGAGTGCCATGCTTTCAGAATTTCTCTAAAAGCAATTTCTTTAATTGCATTTAGATAAATACAATTGAATTATTAATATTCTGTCATATGGGTCTGTTCCCTAAGAGATAGCTGAGGAAGAAATTACACCAGACAAACAGAATGCCACTGTCCCTGTTAGAAGATGACCTGGAATTCCAATGTATTCCAATTTGTGTTACAGCATATATATATATGGACTAAATAATTTTTACCATTCCATGCAAGCTCTAAGGAATATTATGAATAATGTAGAAATAATGTGAAATACTTGGAATAATTTTCCTACTGTTTTAAGTGCTCTATACAAATTAAGTTCACTATCCTTACATCTAGATTCCAGGCAGCCACATTTTAAAATCTGTATTAAGAACGTGGATGTAAACAACAAATTCCCAGGTATAAAAAACAACCAGTGCTTCCAGTGCAAGAATTCAGGTCTCTGCATTTACCGGCATGGCCCTGTCTCTGAGCTTAGTGGAGACGAGCAGAGTTCACTTTGGTAGTGCTCATAATCATGACAGTTTTGGGGCATTAGAGAATTGGAACTCAGGAAGCTGAACTCGTTTTTTTCTTATCCAAGAGAACAAGCTTCTCTATGATGTCTAAAAAAATTGCTTCTTGATCTTTCTAATTCAAAACAAAGCTGGAGATTCACAGAGAGTCCTACCAGTCAGAATATTTTGTCATACAAACTGATAGCTAGCAAGTCAAAGTTCCAAATTTTAGCTTTTTTCTTTTTCATGAAGAAAACGGTACCTCAGTCGAAGAACAGGGTGATATTATATTACTTCAAAAGGGTTTTTAGAATAGTTCAGAGAACAGCAGAAGACGTTGCAGAGATTTTAAACTTAAATGTATATTAAAGTAAGGCACGAACCAAAGGTCCATCACATTTACCCCTTTGTAACCTGAACTATAAGACTCCACGTACCACTGCCTGATGGGCAAATTGTAAGTAACTTCTTGCCAGTGTCTCTGAGCTTCATAGTCTCCATACATAGGTGGTTTTCCTGCACCTAAAAAGAGATGACAAGAGTAAGAATTTATACAGTTTATGCAGATTGCTTTTCCTCCAGATACGTATTTGCATATTAATATATTACTAGTTTTATTCTCCATTCCTCTCTGATATTTGAGAACAAAATAGAGACCTCATCTGCTATGCAGTCTAACAGGGAGGAAAAAAAAAAAAAAAGTTATGTGTCCTTTTTGGCTCTCTGGATAACTCTGCGATAAGCATTTATCAAGATACTCCACTGTGAAGAATTGCTTCCTCATCTGACAAAAAAAAAAAAATCATTTCCAAGTGTAGATGAAAAATGTGGCACTTTCTGTGAAATAAGAAAATGCACATAATGGGCATCTTGTACTGATTTTGTGTGAACTACTTTGCTTCCTTAGTATATAATAATTGACAATGTTCTCCCTTGTGTTTCAGCCGCGTTGTGGTATCTTGCTATTAAAAGTAACAACAAGCCTTATTTTTAAAATTTACTTAGAACTAGGACCTGCTGCAAGGCCCCCAGGTCCTCTCCCCCTCCTCTGTTGCTTTGTAACACTAGCAACAACACTGCATCTTGCATCTGTCCCTTTCTGCATAATTCTTAATGAAGAGTTAATAAAGATGAGCCATTTACTACATCAGGCCATTCAGTACACAGAATATGTTGAGAAGAGTTTTTTTTCTTATTATCTGCAAAGCTTTTTAAGTAATAACTGCTCCATTTTGGTTTACAGGAATTCTCTCTCACACATTTTCCAACTGAGGATTGCTCTGTAGCAGTTCCACAAAGTGGATTATGCTACGGGACGCTTTTCACACATGCATACATTAAGTCTCTCAGGAAACTAAGAAATATTTATTACCACAGAAAAAAAAAAAAAAAAGAAAAAGCTTTATCAATGCAAATACTTTAGATGTCTACTCATAAACAATTCCCTCGATTTAAGCCTAACTCTGATAACGGCAGTATATTAAGCATCTTTATCACAGAGTTTATTTAATCTATTAGCCTGCGCTTATTGAAAACAGAAACTGGACTGATAGTACTCCCAGTAAAATATTGACACCAGACAGACAGAGATTTAAGAGTTTCTTTAAAATATAGGAAAGCCATCTATATTTTTTTCACATGATCTATGTTTGCGGGAGTCACACAAGCTCAGATATGTACTATTTATTCCTGGGTAGCGGAGAGAACAGATTATCTCCACTAATTTATTCTTGCGTAGTAGAGAGAGTAGATTATCTCCACATTCAAATAAAAGTGTCCCAAATAAGTGAGGTCACTGGAGAATGGGAGTCTTATCAGCGTCTGTTCTGTAGCTATAAATCTAGTGGAACAAAGAACCTGTCATAGGATTACTGAAATACAAAAATAGGTGCTAGTCAAATTTTAGAGTGTGTATGTATGCATATATACACAGATATATATATATAAAAACACACATTTATATCAACTTCTCCCCCTCTCAAAAAAAAAAAGGAAAATAAATTAATTGGCTTCAAAATAAAAGACATCTTAATCCAACGGTTTGATTACTAAAAAACCAAATACAGATAGTGATCACAATACATATTTAGCTTCCATCTACAGTAAGCACCACATATACAGCCAAACAACTCAGAATTAAAAAACAATAATTAGTATTTTATTTTAAGAGAGTCACAAATGCTTTAAATTTGAAGTTGTCTTATTCACTTTTACTATTACCTGGAAACAGACATTTTTAAGGGTCTGAAGCTGCCTTTCAACACAGGTATTTAACTTCTACTCATTTAGCAGGAGTTTGGCAACACATTTTAAAAAAAAAAAAAAAAAGCATTAACCTATGAAGTGTTTCCTTAATAATTCTCTAAGACCATCTAAAATAAGGTCATAAAAGCAACAGCAAAACAACCGGACCACATCAGTTTAAACACTACCCTGCCCAATTTTCTTCCTTGTTCCTGTCACTGAAGGCTTATTACATCTGAAGAAAGTCAAAGCAAACAAAAAAACCCCACTGTATTTATGCATTTGACAGCTCTTTCTAACATTCAGGTTTGTCTTTTTTTCCAGCCAGCCAACGCTCAAAGTTAAGCACATGCTTTAATAATTTGCTTATTGGATCAGGCTCAGCTCTTCCTGTTACATGATCATAGTGTAGGAAACAAGATTTGAAAATTGTTATTTCAGTTCAGGCATTATTTTAAGACTCTCTTTCAAAATCTTGATTTGTCTGAAATTAAATCAACTTAAAAAAAATCTAATTACCAATGTAATTGTAAATATCTGCAATACAACAAAAATTTAGTCCTCTACGGCAAAAGACAGGGTATTTGCTTTTTTGCCTATAGATGGGTAAAAGAGAGCCTCAGTTACCTGCAGATCCCTCATAAAGGCATTTTCAAAAAGCAAACTCAAAATAAAACAACTGTGCAAGAAGGTATACGCACAACTTATCTTCAAGCAAATTCCTTCAAGCAAATGGAACCCAGGAGTTACCAGTTTATAACCACTAGAATACAACTGAACACCTCCAACTGCTCAGGGAACGAGGCTCCCAATTGCCTTAAGAGAAAACCAGAGTTGAATTTGACTGAGCTCGTGATTCTTTCAGATTCATTTCAGGTTTTTAAAAAAAAAAAAAAAAAAAAATTTGCAGAGAGCAAGCTTTGTGCAAGCTTACTCTAAGTGCAGGAATGGCACTGAGAGGTTTGGGAAAAAAACTTGCTAGTTCTTTGCAAGCATTATGAGATAGGGAGGAGAAAAACTCATCTATTAAAAGAATATAGCTCTGGTTCATGCTGTAAACAACCTGAAGGAAGTATAGCTACAAGGCAGAGTGTAATCGCTCACTCCACGTCACCTTTACACCGTCTTCATTATCACCAGTACACTTTTATCTAAATATAAATTATGGCTATATCTGTTATAGAACGTAAAGGACAAGATTTAAAAAGTGTACAATCAAACTGCAATAATATTCTGCAGCCACTTGAACAGCAAAGACATAGGGGTGAACATTACTGACCGTCACCCCCCTCAAAAAGTAGTTGTGGGATTTTTTGTCAGCGTTTTGTTCCAAGCGGCTGTGACGTTAATCCCTGCACGCTTCAGAAAAATAAGAATAAGGTATTATATGAACCTTAGGGAAACAGAGAGGCACTAAAACACGACAGTACTTGAAATAACACATTGCTTCCTATTTATGATTTTACATGCAAGTTTATTTTAATTTATCACAAGCTCCATAATTCACCTTCATGTGGTTGTTTTACAGACCGTGAACGTGTATTACCTGAATAAGAACCGAGCGATACAGTCCAGCGTACAGTAAGTGCTAGTAAAACAGTAATTGTCATTAAGCTCCACTTCTCCATAGCGGGTCTTTGTAACAAGCCAAAAGGTACCTGAAAGAACACCATAAACATTGCTACAATACCGTCCAAGTTTTTGTTCCGTAGGCATTTAACAGCACTACTGACAGTCCCGGTTCTCTCCCCTCCCAGAAACATTCTGTTACTGTCTATCTCGCATCTGGAAGCGCACTGCGATCAGGAGGCGTTTTCAGGACTGGAAAATTTCTGATTGTGAAGCCAAATGCTGCCCAGAAGCAGTTTCTCCCATTCCTGAGCTAGAAGCTGAAAAGGTATCTGTCAAAATGCATAAAACCAACAGCAAGAAGGAGGGGAAAAGATTTCAAACCACTTAAGAGAAATTAAATATCAGATCAACACCCCGCTGTACTTATAGGTATATACTTAAGCCCCACACAATTTGTTACACAAGCATGTTTTACCTGTAAGTGACAAGAGAAGATTCTACAAGAGACCAGTAGAAAAGATTATAGTGGTGGTCAAAATACTCCTGCCAATCACATATGTTAAGTAGCTCACAAACTAATATTTGCCACTGAAGAAGGAAAACCTCTTCAGAGAGGTCTAGAAAAATTCCCTGATTAATAACTCACTAGGAAAAAGAAATATTATTGTTAATAAGCACACAGTTTTAAAGAGTGCATTAATGTCCCAGTATTACGTTAATGCCACTTATTTTCTTGATTAAGAATACCAAAGGCGAAATTATGCAAAATGCAGATCTAGTATAAGCTTCTCTGTTGGTTTTAAAATACACAAAAATTATTGAGGAGTTAATGATGAACTGGCAGGTCTTACGCTGGGCCAGGTATGGTCCGTTCTCCTGCAGCCATTATAAAAGCACAGAGCCCATCATAAACTCTGTATCATCTGTTCTAATTCCACAGGAAGGCAGTCATGACCCAGTACGTAATTAAAAACATTAAATGTGTACTATTGACCTAGGAATACAAACATCTGGCATTAATGTCAAAAATCCCTGATCTGAGTCTTACTTCAGTCTCCCTGATATTCCAAAAATGGCCTGAAACTCTACCTCCCTTTCCAAGCACAAACACACTGTCCATCAGCAACTCCTCCCTACAGGATACACCAAATAAAACCTCAAGGAGCAAGAGATCTTCTCCATCTCTCTACCCAAAAAGGCAGGAAGGCTGATGTCCCACCAAGCCTGCTTGGCTCTACCAAGGATACAGTAACACTAAGAAACGTTGCTAGATCTATCAAATTAAAGGCCACCTGCATCAAACTCAGAAATCACGAAACAGCAAAGTAATGATGTTGCCCTATGCAAAAACCACTAACTATACAATATGCAGACTTTGACCCACAGAATCAAAACCATTCTTAGTCTGTTAGAAAAAAACTGAAGTAGAATCTACTCCAGTCTTGACAGTGAGAGACAGCAGTAAATCCAAAGGCTGTACTTCTGCCAAATCAGCAGCAGTAGCACTGTTCCCTCCGCAGTCAGCAACAGATACGTTACAGAAGAGTGAATGAGCCTGGGTACAACTGCCAAAGGCTTTCCTCACAGAAAAGGCACCATCCGATTTAAGTGAGTTTAATGCCCTTGCCACTGCCAAAAAAAAAAAAAACCCACAAAAAAAATCCCCCACAGCAGCAGTACTGAACTGCTGTTTTAGTAACAGACAAGTAACACCTAAGACGGGTTTAGGTTATTCTGTTCAAAATAAATCTGTATTTATTTACTATTGACAGAAAGGTATCACCCAACACCACCACCAAGGGGGGGAAGAAAAGTTACTTTAGCAATATAAATCTATGACAGCAGTGGATCACCATCTATAGGTGAACACTGATATTTGCATGCTTTCAATGCTACACCTGTGCCTAAGCCACTGGGCAGGCACATGTATCTACATGAAAGACACTGAGGTGGACTCTGTAGAGTTTACTCTAACTGAACTCTCATGATTCCTAAACTTGGGCCCAGTGATACCAGAGTCCTATACAACTTCCAAAACCAAGTGCCACAAGCCTGGCCTTTCCCTTCTATAAAATACCCACATCTGGCCTTCCTTTCTATCTCCAGTCAGAACAAGTATTAATTAATTATATCGCCTTAATCCCTGCGCAATGCCAGTCTCACCTGCTGACACTCTCCCATCTCCTTCTGCCATTCCCTACATTTGGGGTAACTGTCATTTTCTGGGGTAATGAATTTCTCCTCTCAAAAGTGGTTCTTAATATATTCTTTCCTACTTTTTTCACCTTATTCAGTGCCTCCTGAAACGAAAGCCATGCTTTTTATTAGATTCAAAAGCACTGTGCTCTAAATGTTAAACAAGTAAGACTTTTCAGGAGATAATAAAGCTGGTTTGGCCAGCCTCAAAAGTTTTCACCTTCTACCTCAGGATTGGCAAAACTAAAGGTTCTCTCAAGTGAGATGCCATCTCTAAGCACAGGATGAAAATCACAGCCCCCAAACCCCGCTGTCCTTCCACGCTGCCTGCTGGGAAGATTCTGATAAATAGGACCGATACAAACCACCCACTCCTCGCCAAAGGGAGCTCACAGAACTCAGTCACGGATGCACGACCCTTAACATGGCATAACTCATGGCTTTAGAGAGAGAGATGTCAGCGCGCAGCTCAGCGGCGCCCTTCCCTTCCTCAAAAAAAACGCAAACACTCAAGTCAGAATGCAATTTCTTGAAGGAAAACCCGCTCCGTAAGCCTACTGTTCCCCTACTCCCTGTCAGAAAATGCGTTTATTTCTCACATTTCCTCACTCCCCCACCCTCTATCACCAGCCGCCTCAGGGAGAGTGTGCCCCCGGGGCCTCCCCGCTCTCCCCTCAGCCCACTCTCACCGACCCCCGACCCTCAGGCCCCGCACAGGGGGGGGAAGTGCCGGAGGAGAGGCGCGGTACAGCCCGCCCCACACACACACTAACCCTGTCCGTGCTGCCCCCCCCCAGTGAAGCCCTGAGGGAGCGGGACCGGCCGCCGCCGCCACCCGCCTCCCCCCCTCAGCCCGGCCCTTCCCGCCGCTCCTTCCTGGACACAA